TTATCTCCCGAATTGATCAAGCAGCTGGATGCCCACGGTGCTGGGGGGTGGTGAGTGTCGCATTCCACAACCATGGTGCCCCTATCTTTGCCTGAATTTCTCCACCCCTGGTGAAGCAATTGTATTTACCGCATGTTTAAATGAAGTGGATTCCGTATGTTTGAATGGCCGAGCGGCCAAGGAAAACTTTTCTCGAGGTAGTATAAAATACCCGGAATAATAATCCGAACTGACCTTCAAATTTTTCGGAAGTGCAGGGCTCAACCACCCAGCGAGTAGATTCCAAATTGATGGCCGACTGAGAGCCCAGGAACTGGTTGGACTTCACCGTGGTTCTCTTCTCCTTAATCAATATTTTAAGCAAAGATCTTTTACTGCATTGAGACCTGGAAGAATACCATTGCATATGCAGGAAACATGTAGAACACTTGTGCCTGTAAGGGCATTGGTGACTTATATGCCACCCATTCCATAACTGTATGTACTATATAAGAAAATGTATACATAAAATAGTTGCATTCTAAGTGCATATGCAGCTTGGATGTGTTGACACAGCAAATGGCTATGGTATCTGCAAAAACAATGTTGCTTTTATCACAAAATACCCTCTAGATATCAGTGCATGTTCGAAGCTGCCATGTCTACTGTATATATATATATACTGATGCTGCACACTTGCGACAATGCGCTTGCATACTGGTTGAGGCCGTCCACCCACTAAAGCGCAAACAACCCCTGAAACTTTTCATACAGTTTACAGATCAAAGAACTAAGAACAAGAGTGAGTATTGATCAAAAGGATGGAGAAGGGACCCCTTTCCATATGAATGCATTCTGGGAGCTGCTACTTCCTAGTCCCATGTGTTATGTCATAGCTGTTTTCTGTCAAAATTTATAAACAGTCTTACCTCTTTTTAGGTGTTACTCATCCTGTCATAAAAGATCATAAAAGCACAGCCAAGCAATTATGGTAACAGGGTACCTGGATTAGATATGCAGTGGCATAGCAAATTACTGTGAAATATACAGGAAACATATTTTGGAGAAAGTGTAAGTTGGAGCTGTCCTTGCCATGTGCCAACTCTTATGAGCAAAGTCAGTTGCAACCAAAGAGTCTTTATTGCAATCAATCCTGGAAGAATTCCATTACATATGCAAAGTACATGTGGACAATATGTGTACGTATTGGTATGTGCTACTTATGTACCATCCATATCATAGATGCATACAGTAGTACTACCAAGAAAAATGCAAGTCCATCAATGTATATAGGAGGGCTATATATAGGAGGGCTAGGAGAGGGGAGAGGCTCGATTTTTTTTCTTCTTTTCCTTGGCCACCTCTCCCCCTAAGGGAAGCCATATATATATATATACACACACACACTATGTTTGTTTTTCCTCCTTCCTTTTCCCTGGGGATCTTCATGACTCTCTGGACATTCTTTGGCAACCTCTGAGGAAGTCTGACAATCTGTGTGGATCTCTAGCAATACCATCACAGGTATATGAACGTAAAGGATCGAACATGATGTAGCAAAAACACTGCATTCCCAGAAACGTGGGAAAATGGGGACCTGACAGCGTCCTTTTCTATATATATATATATATACATATATGTATACATAAATATATACATATATATATAAATATGCATATATATATATACATACATATATATGTACATATATATATACATACATATATATAAATACATATATATATATGTACATATACATATATCAATACACACACACACATATATATATATACATATACACATATATTTACATATTCAACAATTATATTCCTTTGAATTAAGACCCGCATCTTTTTGCCAACTCACCGGTGTGCGCCTTGGTTTTTTGAGGTGGCCTGTTTGGAAGCTGCTGGGTCGCCTTGCAGCGCCACCTTTAGGTGGGACTGGTGGCCGTGGTCCACGACGAACCATTGGGAATGAGTAGTGCCTGGCTAAGACAAGGGCTGGGGGTTTGTGCAACCAAAATGATCAACCACACGAAAAGAAAGGATGCTCATCCAAGCAGCCTGAAATCGATGGTTTCTGGAGACTGGACAGGCCCATAAATAAAAACATATTTCAGGATTGGCTTTCAACATCTGGTTCAGAACCAGGTGGTCAGAATCACCAAACATTTTTGGTGCCAAGACCATCTTGGATATTCTCACCAGGTTTTTCCAGCGCCATGTGAACTCCAAGGGGTTTTAGTAGACCCTGTGACGCTGGGGCTGGAGCAGGCTGGAGCAGCACCAAAAATTTACAAGCAAACACCTGTCTACACTTTGAGGCGAGGTGTGTTTGATTTAGGGAATGGTCTTGCAGAATAGTCGCACGATTTCGGAACTCTCAACCTACAACTCAAGTGTTTGTAGCAACTCCAAAGATGTTTCCTCCCTCACCTTGGAGATATCTGCAGAGGTAGCTGGTTACATCTGGTTTCCCCTTAGTAACCCGTCATCGGCGACCTGCGATCATCGCGCTGTGTGCCCCCTGTCAGGCCTGTAAAAGGACTGTCGCCTTCTATCGGAGGACGGGCTGCATGGAAGATGACCAGCATCAGCCAACAATGGATGTAACCCACCAGAAACCTTTATGTGCGGCTGCCACAGCTGGTCAATGTTTGTTTCTGCCAGTGGAATTGTAGATTTGATGCAATGCAACAAAAGGAACATCCAAGTATATCCTTCCATCCCGTCGTGCAATGGCGCGCATCATGTAGCACCATGTAGGCATGTCTCACAGATTACATAAGGTCTTCAAAAATTGAATATGATTGTGAAACTGGACCCATTTTTCTCAGTGTCCATTTTGAGACTGCTGGATTAGAATAGAGTTCTGGTTTCATGGTTTCATCATGGTCTATTGTCCAAGTCTAGTGGGGAGCTCCCAAGCACCGAGCTGCAGGCATATGGTGGCACCCAAGAAGTTGGGGGCCAAAGGTAGGAGGGGTGGACGCTCTATAGATCGTTTTTCCTGAGAGTCAGCGTGTTTCGGGTCCAATCAAGTTCCCTAGGATTCCACAGAAATTTGAAACAAAGAGAGGCCAATTTGACACCAAAATGCCTGTCTTAAAGGGGGGCCAAAATGTCACTAACCACCACACTTTCGGGCCAGTCGGTGTTGCCGAGTGTTTCTTGATGTCTATTTAAGATGCCATGGCGTATTTGCCAAGATCATGAGAGGGGTGGTTGCTTCAACACCACTTTCAGTTTGTTTGGCCCCCAGAAAGCTGCCAACCGTTTTAGGCTTGTCGTCAGGATGTCCCACCATCACTGCAAAGAGAAAATCCAACGGGGGTGAAAGAATGGAGCACGTGACAACACCCAACTCTTTGCAATGGAATTCATGGTCGATATTTTTCCAGTGCCACAATTACTTTTGCAAGTAGGTTCATCACTGAATGATCCGCCAATGTACTCTCAACGCTTTTGGATCAGCATGCTGTCAGCAGATCTCACCTATCGTAGACCCATCTCTGAGGTTAGAGGGCATCGAATGCCCAGCACCATCTCCAAAGCTGCGCTTCACCTATCGTGGCTTGGATGGCTTGGATGAAATGGGAGGAACAGTGGGCAACATGTGACTGTGACAGCCTCGGTGCAAAGGTGGAGGTGTCTTGAGACTGCGGTCCAACCTTTCTGCCCGGATGCCTCAGGGAGCTGTGGAACGTCGACTGCATCGTTTGGTCATTTGATTTTTCGATAGTTTTCGCAACACGTCGACGTCCCACTTTCATGTTTGGTCCTCGGAGCATCCAGACATATCCAGACTTTTCGGCGTGAAAAAAGTAAATCTTCCATGATCTTCCAAATAGAGATGTTGAGGGAACATGGGGAAGGCCTACTTAAAGACCTGGCTGATGGGTATGTGACGATCCTGACATGTCGTCAGAAACAAGGGCCAGGGCTTTTGGGAGATATTTGGGAAAATGGATTGGAATTCGGAAACAAACACTGCAGCGTCGCAACGGAGATGTCACGCTGGGTGTAACCTCGCCGCCCAGGATGTAATGCAAGAGACCGGCAGAAAAGGCATCTTTTTCCTCCCAGAGTGTGGCATCCCAGTAACAAGGCGCTGGTGCAAGCCGCGGTTTTTCTGTTTGCTTGTTGTTTGTTGAAGTGATTTGTTTGGTGAATTCATGTGAATTCTGTGCGCGAACTAGACCTCAACCTAATAAATGGATCTAAATGACTACATTGACTACATGCAACATTGGTTCCATGGGCACAGGGACTTGGTGCGTCCAACTCAATGAAATTTGAGGCAATAACTAACAGGTCTGTGATGCTGTGAGAGGTGGTGAGGCAAGAAAGTCACTGTGGTTGCTTCTGATGATATCCGACGATGCTGTTTGGTTCCTTTCGGCTCAAGGATTTGTGCCTGAGGTGTGCCCCATCGCACGGTGTGCTTCCGACACGAAACCCATTTGTGCAACAACTCTCTTCAGTTCGTAGCCATGCGTGAGGCAATCTGCATCCATATTGGACAGGCTCGCGGCGCTCTGGGTGAGAGAGGTGTATAACGGTGTATACATTTTTGGCTGTCGTATGTGAACAAACATGCACAGTTTACGGTATGCACGTAAGATCTACATCTTCAAGCATTGACCCTTCCCCAACAACCATCCTTGATGATGAACTGAGATTTTTTTCCAAGAAAGCTCCATGGGTACTGGTTATTTGCTGATTGTGACATGCAACGCTCGCAAACTTCTTCTCCAAAAGTGTTTCTCGTGCACATGCGATCAATTCAGAAAGAAACCCGTAAAAAGAGAGTGGGTGGCCGTGACCGAAAAAAAGAAAATGCTCAGATAGAAACTTCAAAGCATACTGACAGAGTTTCTACTGCCATTTGTGCATGTCTCATGAACCTTATTGAAGGTCACCAACTTCAGATTGTCTGAGACGGAAACTCATAGGGCCTTTAGGGCAGCACAGGTTGAAACGGTGGAAGTGTTTTTTCAATCGCACATCCTCACTGCCACAGGGCGGAGTTCAGATTGGAAATGCGCCGCTTGTCTGGATCCGTTGGGCGTGTTGGACGTGGGAAAAACCAGGCTTGAACTCAACATAGGTGCAGTGGCATTTCTATGATTCTATGAGATCTACGAGGAACAATCCTCATGGGTGAACCATCATGAGTCATTGTTGATGGGGGGAGTCACCCCACGATGATGGCTACTATTCAGCCGGCCACAGAGCTCATCTGCATCAGGAAAGTAGGAGACATCGTGCATACTTTTCACAAACACGCACATATCAAGTGTGGCAATCAAATTGATCAACAAGTGACTCGCCCCCCTTAGTTTCCATGGGAACTCGTTTTCATATTTCCAAAGGCGGCATTTTCTCGAGCCCATGGCGTGTGAACGGTGTAGCTGGTCTGGTCCAGGTGCTGGGAGCTTTTCTGTTTGGAGCACGGCATCCAACCTGATGGCCAGATGCCTTCCGACAAGACCATCGGCCACTGGGACTTGCGATATTTTGGGCGGCAAGGATAGATTTGGATAGATGAGATTTCGGAAAAGGTAGAAATTTCTGTTGTTGCATGTCGATCTTTTCTTGCTGATGAAACTGCAGTGAGGCAAGCAGGCAGCAGTTAATGAACAGAAAGAACGGTCAATGTCAATATCTTTGAAAAGCGCAAGGAACCAACAGGTCTACACCGTAGGATTTTTCCTCATCTACTCAATTTGCTTGCTCATTTTTCACCTCAGCTTGCAAAGCGGTGTGGGAGGTGGTGGAGATGACGCATTCAATACGTTCCTTGGATGACTTGGGGATGGATCATTTCTCAGGTGGTTGTGTCCTTTCGTAGGACAGTTGCAAACTTGACATGGATAATTAAGTCTTCAGAATGTAGAAGTTTGGTGGCAGCAACGCACCATGTCGCATGATGAACGATCGGGGATTGTAGTCGCAAACTTGCATTACATCCACATGGGCACCCCCGAAGTGATCATTTGAAGGGGCATCAAAGTGACACACGGAAACGCAATCTTTGGCGAGGAATTGTTTTGCGAAAGCTCGTGAAAGGGAGAGCAAGTAAGTAGCGCGTGGCCAGTGTCTGACATGGGTCATTAGTGACTGCACTTGCCTTCTCCTTGTTGGCAAAATGGTTTTTCCCGTAGGTGGAATTCCGGCTCCTCTTACCTGCCTGTCCATGGTTGGTTGACCGGCTTTTCTGGCTCTTGGATTCGGCTGTCATGCTTGCTCCATCATGCAGAAGTTAATAAATCCAGTTCTTCCAGCCCTCCAAACCTTTTTGATCCTTTTTGTATGGCATTTCGCTGGCGTCCCCAAGGATCTCGACCTGTTATAGAATGGGCTAGCGCCCTGGTGCCGCCGACCCCCCTTTGTGGGGGTGGCAGGGCAGGATCAGTAAATAAAACCACAGGAGAAGTAAAAACAATAATCAACGATCATATCCCAAGCAGGGTCATGGAAGAAAAGATCAACAGCGAAGCAGAATCATAGACAATCATCAACAGTCATATCCAAATCAAAATCATGAAGAAAACATCAATAATCACAACCAAACCAGAATCATAAACAATCATCAGCAATAATAACGAAATCATAATTAAAAACAATAATGAACAATCATACCCAAATCAGAATTATAGACAATCATCAACAGTCGCAACCAAATCAGAATTATAAACAACAACCAACAATCATAGGCAAATCAGAATTAACAACAAGAATCAACAATCATACCCAAAGCAGAATTACAGACGATCATCAACAGTCACAACCAAACCATAAGTATAAACAATCATCAACAATCAGAACGACATCAGAATTATAAACAATCATCAACAATGAAAAGAACAATCATCAACAGTCAAGACCAAAGCAGAATTATAAACAATCACCAAGAAGCAAAACCAAATCAAAAATTACCCCATCATCAGCAATCATAGCCAAATCAGAATCATTCAAACATCATCAGCAATCAGAAGCAAATCAGAATCATGAACAATCATCAATAATCATAGCCAAAGCAGAATGAAAAGCAATAAGCAACAATCAGACCCAAATCTTAATTGTAAACAATCATCAACAAGCAGAACCAAGTCAGAATTATAAACAATGGGCAACAATCAAAACCAAGTCAGAAGCACAAAGGATCATCAACAATCATAACCAAATCAGAATTATAAACAACCATCAGCAATCATAACCAAAGCAAAAACTTACACAATCACCAGCAATCACAACCAAATCAATGGTTCATACCAATAAATAAAGACTCAACACTCACTCCAAACGTAGAGAAGACGGCGGAACAGAAAGAAGCACAGACAGGCAGGCAGAAATGAGCTGCAAACAGCAGAGCAAGGGCAGCGCGAGACGGTGATGTTGCTGGCAAATGGAGCACAAGCAGCGAGGGAAGGCAAGAGTTTCCAATATGTTTGTCCCGCTTGCCAAAAGTCTGTGAGGAGCAGTATACGCACGAGCCAAGTAGATCACCGGCGCGCATGTGGTAACCGTTTCCAGGTGTGGGATGCGCAGGTCGTTGCGAAAGGGTATGTGTATATTTGCCCTGCTTGCGAAGGGAATGTGGCCGGTGACGTCAAGACAGGGTCTGTGGGAAGCAGTTTTCTGTGAAGGACGGCGTTGTGACGGAAAAAGCGTATGTTTACGCTTGCCCCGCTTGCAAAGGGAATGTGGCCAGTGACGTGAAGACAGGGCGAATAGACCCATCGAAGGGTCTGTGGGAACCAGTTTTCTGTGAAGGACGGCGTTGTGAAGGAGAAAGCGTATGTTTACATTTGCCCCGCTTGCAAAGGGAATGTGGCCGGTGACGTGAAGACAGGGCAAATAGACCATCGAAGGGTCTGTGGGAAGCAGTTCTCTGTGAAGGACGGCGTTGTGACGGAAAAAACGTATGTTTACGTTTGCCCCGCTTGCAAAGGGAATGTGGCCAGTGACGTGAAGACAGGGCGAATAGACCATCGAAGGGTCTGTGGGAAGCAGTTTTCTGTGAAGGACGGCGTTGTGAAGGAGAAAGCGTATGCTTACATTTGCCCCGCTTGCAGAGGGAATGTGGCCAGTGACGTGAAGACAGGGCAAATAGACCATCGAAGGGTCTGTGGGAAGCAGTTTTCTGTCAAAGACGGCGTTGTGAAAGAGAAAGGTGGTAAACGGCAAGCTTGAACGCCGAGAAGAAGCCATTGATCTGGCTTTGGGGTACCTATTGAATTGTGTAAAGGCTGGCAAACGGCAAACTTGGACGCCGAAGAGAATTGATCTGGCCTTTGGGGTGCCTGTTGGCTGCGGGATGAAGCATGCCAAGAGAATGTTTAAGCGTTTGAGGGGGCGAACGGCAGGCTGGACCGCCTAGACGAAGCAATGGATGTGGCCTTGGGGCAGCTGTTACCTGCGCGGTTCGACGTTCCGAGAAGCTCTTATACAGTTGTAAGGGTGCGTGCCAATAAGAAGCCATTAATGTGTGGCCTTGGGGTGCCTGTTGGCTGCAGGATGAAGCATGCCAAGAGAATGTTTAAGCGATGTGGCCTTGGGGCAGCGCTATTGCCTGCGCGGTTCGGCGTTCCGAGAAGCTTCTGCACAGTTTGCAGGGTTTTAAGGGTTTTAAGGGTTTTGAAGGTTTTTAAGCGTTTAAGGGTTTTAAGCGTTTAAGGGCTGGCAAACGGCAGGCTTGGACGCCCATAAACATTGATGTTAGCCTTGGGGTGCCTGTTGGCTGCAGGATGAAGCATGCCAAGAGAATGTTTAAGCGATGTGGCCTTGGGGCTGCGCGGTTCGGCGTTCCGAGAAGCTTTTGCACAGTTTGCAGGGTTTTAAGGGTTTTAAGGAGGGTTTTAAGGGTTTTGAGGGTTTTAAAGCGTTTTAAGGGTTTTAAGCATTTAAGGGGTGGCAAACGGCAGGCTTGGACGCCCATAAGAAGCCATTGATGTGTGGCCTTGGGGTGCCTGTTGGCTGCAGGATGAAGCATGCCAAGAGAATGTTTAAGCGATGTGGCCTTGGGGCAGCGCTATTGCCTGCGCGGTTCGGCGTTCCGAGAAGCTTTTTTAAGCAAACGGCAGGCTTTGCCATTGATGTGTGGCCTTGGGGTGCCTGTTGGCTGCAGGATGAAGCATGCCAAGAGAATGTTTAAGCGATGTGGCCTTGGGGCAGCGCTATTGCCTGCGCGGTTCGGCGTTCCGAGAAGCTTTTGCACAGTTTGCAGGGTTTTAGGGGTTTTAAGGGTTTTGAGGGTTTTTAAGGGTTTCGAGGGTTTTTAAGCGTTTAAGGGCTAGCAAACGGCAGGCTTGGACGCCCATAAGCAGCCATTGATGTGTGGCCTTGGGGTGCCTGTTGGCTGCAGGATGAAGCATGCCAAGAGAATGTTTAAGCGATGTGGCCTTGGGGCAGCGCTATTGCCTGCGCGGTTCGGCGTTCCGATAAGCTTTTGCACAGTTTGCAGGGTTTTAAGGGTTTTGAGGGTGTAAGGGCTGGCAAACGGCAGGCTTGGACGCCCATAAGAACCCATTGATGTGTGGCCTTGGGGTGCCTGTCGGCTGCGGGATGAAGCAGCACAGTTTGCAGGGTTTTAAGGGTTTTGAGGGTTTTTAAGCGTTTTAAGGGTTTTAAGCGTTTAAGGGCTGGCAAACGGCAGGCTTGGACGCCCATAAGAAGCCATTGATGTGTGGCCTTGGGGTGCCTGTTGGCTGCAGGATGAAGCATGCCAAGAGAATGTTTAAGCGATGGGGCCTTGGGGCAGCGCTATTGCCTGCGCGGTTCGGCGTTCCGAGAAGCTTTTGCACAGTTTGCAGAGTTTTAAGGGTTTTAAGGGTTTTGAGGGTTTTTAAGCATTTAAGGGCTGGCAAACGGCAGGCTTGGGCGCCCATAAGAAGCCATCGATGTGTGGCCTTGGGGTGCCTGTTGGCTGCAGGATGAAGCATGCCAAGAGAATGTTTAAGCGATGTGGCCTTGGGGCAGCGCTATTGCCTGCGCGGTTCGGCGTTCCGAGGAGCTTTTGCACAGTTTGCAGGGTTTTAAGGGTTTTAAGGGTTTTAACGATTTTGAGGTCTTTAAGCGTTTTAAGAGTTTTTAAGCGTTTAAGGGCTGGCAAAAGGCAGGCTTGGACGCCCATAAGAAGCCATTGATGTGTGGCCTTGGGGTGCCTGTCGGCTGCGGGATGAAGCATGCCAAGAGAATGTTTAAGCGACGATGTGGCCTTGGGGCAGCGGCAGGAAGGGTTTAAGGGCTGGCAAACGGCAGGCTTGGACGCCCGAAAGAAGCCATTGATGTGGCCTTCGGTGCCTGTTAGCTGACGGATGGGTTTGAAGCGTGTAACGCCTGGTGAACGGTAGGCTGGACCGCCCAGAAGAAGCGGGGTCAGTTTAAGGGCTGGCAAACGGCAGGCTTGGACGCCCATAAGAAGCCATTGGTGTGGCATTGGGGTGCCTGTTGGCTGCGAGATGGGTTTGACCTTGGGAAGCTAAGAAGGAGAAGTTCCACACCTGCGGTGGTCCCAGGCGCCGCCCCTGCCTTGGCCAAGGCTGGGGTCGGCGGATTTCATCTGACACCACAGCTGGAGGGGTTGGAAAAAGAACAGGGTCATCCTACCCGAACGTTGTCGTTCAACAGCTCACACGTCTATGTTCTCAGGTTCTTCTCCGAAACTGGCGCAGGCAAGCACGTACCCCGGTGTGTGATGGTCGACTTGGCACCTTGGCAGTCATTGGTTGGATCAAGGCAGGGAGTATGGTCACCCCGCATGCCACCCCCAATTTCTGTTCTTCTGCGTCATCACCGATGTCATCATCATCTCCGTCATGATCATCATCACAGCCAGGATCAAAAAAAACTGTCCTCATCATCGTCACCATCATCATCATCATCGTCGTCATCATCATCACCATCATACCATCATTACCATCATCATCACCACCGTCATCATCATCATCATCATCGTCATCATCATCACCATCGTCATTATCACCATCAGCATCTTCACCAACACCATGATCATCAACATCAGCATCAACATGGACATCACCATTATCACCTTTATCACCATTATCACCTTTATCACCATCATCTTTATCATCATCATCATCACCAACAACGTCAACATCAACAAAATACTGACGCCAGCGCCATCATCATCACCATCATTTTCATCTTCATCAGCATCATCATCACCATCATCATCATCATCATCACCATCATCACCATCATCATCATTCTTCGCGATCATCGTAATCATCAGCGTCAGCGTTGTCATCGTGATCGTTATAGTCATCACCATTGTTGTTTTTTTTTCTAATCTTTTATTATCATTATTATCATTTTTTGCCCTCATCAGCTTCGTCGTCATTATCATCATCACCATCATCATCATCATCATCATCTTCATTACCAACACCGTCATTGTCAACATCAGCATCATCATCGTCGTCATCATCATCATCATCACCATCATATCATCATTACCATCATCATCACCACCGTCATTATCATCATCATCATCATCATCACCATCATCATCACCTCATCATCATCATCGTCATCATCATCACCATCGTCATTATCACCATCAGCATCTTCACCAACACCATGATCATCAACATCAGCATCAACATGGACATCACCATTATCACCTTTATCACCATTATCACCTTTATCACCATCATCTTTATCATCATCATCATTATCATCATCATCACCATCATCACCACCACCATCATCACCACCACCATCACCATCATCATCATCATCGTCATCATCATCATCACCATCATCATCATCATCGTCATCATCATCATCATCGTCATCATCATCATCATCATCATCGTCATCATCATCATCATCATCATCAACATCGGTGCAGTTGCACCATGGGGGGTTTCATCGCCACTCTTTGGATCCCCACCGGCCATTTCACAGTTTACTCCAGTGATGTTGAGGATGTGATTGGTTACGCCTGTGTCATTCCCATGTTTGCGCCTCAACCGGCAAAAATGCAAGCCTGCAAGCTGCTCAGGAACCGACAGTTGTTGATGAGGTGCGCACGGGCACCTACCGTCAGCTCTTCCATCCAGAACAGTTGATTTCCGGAAAAGAAGACGCGGCCAACAACTTTGCACGAGGTGGCTGGATGCATTTTTTCACATGTCTGGAACACACATGCACTGTCATTGTAGCGTTTTTTAATCGACTTGAGCTGCGTATCTTGCCTCATTTTCTTGCTTGAAGTGTCAGATTGTGGGTTTTATGTTTCGGTGTTTTCCTTTGAACTTCAATGCTGCCTTCTGGACGCCAACGGCAGTTGCTTGAGGTCACTATACCATTGGCAAAGAGATTGTGGATTTGGTCCTGGACAGGATTCGGAAATTGGCGGACAACTGCGCAGGAAACCCAGCTTCATCGAGTGTTTTCCATGCAAACAATCTATTCGTGCGAACAGCCAAACAATTTAGGGTTCGGTTTTTGTGAATGTTTGCAAGCAGGAACTGCAAGTATTTTCCCTTGCCAGATGTGCAGCTGCAATTTTCCTTGAGGACTGCAAGGGTTCTGCGTCTACAATGCTTGTGGAGGTGGCACTGGTTCTGGCCTGGGTTGCCTGATGTTGGAGCGTTTGTCAGTGGCATGACAGCATTTTAGAACGGCCCTCATGTTAAAGAATGCTGGCAGTTCCGTGCGTCTCTTGCATTCCCGCTGCATCCGGTTCGTGAAGCCGAACTGCGTCCTAAGGTGGATTACGGCAAAAAGAGCAAGATCTCCTTCACTGTGTGGTGCTGCCCACAGGTTGCCACAGCAGTTGTCGAACCCTACAACACCGCGACTTCGCAGTGGTTTATGTATTCGATTTTTTGGTCCCGTGGTTGTGTTTTTGGGATCCTTTGTCAAAGACAGACAGCCAAGATTTTAGCCCACAGTCCCAAAAAGGTTCTCTGCGTGCATTCATTGTTGGAGCACACGGACGTAACGATCATGTACGACAATGAAGCTCTCTACGATATTTGTCGCAGGAACTTGGACATTGAACGCCCAACTTACACTAATTTGAACAGGCTGATTGCCCAGATTATCTCGAGCTTGACAGCCTCCCTTCGCGACTTGTCTGATGAAGTAGAGCAGTCAAAGTAGGTTTCAGTTGCGCACAAGACGTCGTTATACACATGTACAGCATTCATCAAGGATAATGAAGGTTACCAATACATTCACACATATTGAAACGTAATATGGAGCACTTGTTTCAAATCCGGCCGCGCATACAAATTCATTTATTGACCAGTGGGGCGGAAGTTTCGGAAAGAGTAGAAAAGTGAAGCAGCGGGACATGATGGAATGAACGACTGGGTGAAACCAAATGACACCAGCACATGAAATCAAAGGAAATGAAATGAGATCACGAAGAGGGAAGGAAAGGAAAAGTTAGGGAAGGGAAGGGGAGAAAATCACATGAAATGAGAGACATGAAAGCCTGAAAGAATGAAAGAAAGAAGGATTGAACGAATGAACTGGCTGCATGGCTGAATGATTCACTGGCTGACTGACTGACTGACTGGCTGGCTGGCTGACTGACTGACTGACTGAGGGACGGACGGACACACGGCTGCGTGAGTCAAGTCTTCTTTGCGCAGCCTTAGTTTCCCCGAGCTTCTTTAGTGGGCTGCCTCTTCTCTGAGCCTCTTCTTCTCTGAGCTAGCTCTTCTGCAACCAACGTCTTCTCTTTACGATGCCTTGTCCCGTTTGGCAACCTCCTGTTTGAAATCCCACATAGCACGAAAGTCGCACCATGTCTAAAAACTGTCCGTCGCGCAGCTGTCGCAATGCGTTTGGCAACCTCGCAGCTGCAGGAGCGTCGGCGCCATTTAGCAACTTCCATCTGCAGTCCTGAATCGGCGGAGAGTTGCAGCGTCACTAAGATTCCTGTGCGCAGCTGTTCCAAGGTGTATCGCCACCCGAGTTCCAACCCTGCATAGCGTGGACGCACAAATGCGCAGACTCCGGCTATTCTCAGACCGTCACTTTTTAAGCGCTATTTTTGGCAGACTACAGCCCGCAACCGCCGTGGAAACAACCTTCCCTCAGCAAAGCCTTCGGGGGCACAATACCTCTTTAAAAACACATTGATTTGTGCACCTTTCATCCTTCCACCTGCAAACTCACACTCTCCCTGCCTCTTGCCGTGCGTAACGTTTCCATTGACTGCCGTACCAACTTCCGATTAGTGTTGCTACCTGTATGGTTGACATGCAAAGAAGCCCCCCACTCACATGTGTCCGCAACTCGGAAGTTTGCTATCATGTTTCCTTTCGCTATTCCATCCTCTCACACACATGTACAAGAATGTTCATCCGTGAAAAAAGAATATGCACGCTTGGAACCGCACGCAGCCATTCAGCTGCAAGTATGGATGTCTACATCTTTGTAATTGACCCTCGGGTATACAGACACATGCAGAGACATCGCATATATACATGTTAAATTTGCCTTTATATACATTTACCTTTTTGACCCAGGCAGACAGCAAGCAGACGGACCGACCAACGGACAGACCGGCAGGCAGACCGACAGGCAGACCGGCAGGCAGACGGACAGGCAGAACGACAGACGGACAGGCAGAACGACAGACAGACACATACACACATACAAAATACTTGCCTACCTACCTACCTACCTACCTAACTACCTATAGATATACATACATGCATAGACAGATGGACAAATAGACAGACAGATAGACGAATAAACAAACATAGACAAATAGACAGAAAGGCAGACAGACAGATAGATAGAAAGCTAGATGCGTTGGCACACAGATACATACATGTTTAGATAGATACATGCATACATGCTGGCACATGTGCTGGCAAACTCCACAAACACATACGTGTTCTAGAAAAGCAAATGTGTATCGCGCACAAACAGGCACAGGTACATTTATGCATGCGCACAGAAGTGCATACGGGCATACTTATTTGCATACACATGTGCTTGTGTACATGCGCACATACGAACATGTGGCATGTGTATACATACGGACCTGCAGGCAGATTTACATACACACATACATGCATGCACGCATGCGTAGGTACGTGTACAAGCACCCTCATTCAACAAGAACGGGTCAGTGACAATTTCTAGCGTATCCGCACATTACCTCGGCTGTGGCCATTTCAGTTTCCTTTCAATATCGCTATGGATAGAGAATGCCTGGTGCAGAAAATGAATAGGTCGACAGCCGAAAAAGTGACCAGGTTTTGATGGGGCATTGAATGTGGACATCACCGAGTGTCTTGGATTTGCTTTATTGATTGCCCCAAAGTTGTTCTGCATGTACGGATCCCTTTCCAGAAACGATTCGTTCGTTCGCAAACAACACGACCCGGCAGGTTCCAAACCAATTTGGTTCCATATCCGCGCATCCACTTCATGTTGACCTCCTATGCTCCAGTCATCTCCGCGGAGAAGGCATACCATGAGCAGCTTTCTGTGGCAGAGATCACCATGTCCGTGTTCGAACCAGCCTCGATGATGGTGAAGTGTGACCCCCGCCACGGCAAGTACATGGCTTGCTGCATGATGTACCGTGGAGACTCAGCTGAAAGTCTGATCACCGTCGCTTCCTGCCTTTGTTTCAAAGACCAGTCAAGCGCACGGTGGGTGCTTCCATGCACTTTGTCTCTGTGATTGACACCATCCTGCCGCGGCCCTTGTCCAATATGCATACATCCATGTCTTTTCCTCCTTCGCATAAGTCTATTCACTTGATTCAAAATGTTTTCGTTGGCCCAGGAGATGTGGTGCCAAAGGATGTGAATGCGGCAGTTGCCACCATCAAGACCAAGCGAACCATCCAGTTCGTGGATTGGTGCCCCACTGGCTTCAAGTGCGGCATCAACTATCAACCACCTACTGATGCTGGGGCTTGCTTAACGTCTTCTTTTCTCATGGGCTCACCCACTTGACTCGGGGAGGGCAGCTTTTTGGGGTATCTTATTTTGTTGGCAGTGATCAAATCCAAGGTGGTTCCTGGAGGTGATTTGGCCAAAGTCATGCGTGCCTGCTGCATGATATCAAACTCCACTGCCACTAGCACTGCAGTTGTTTGCTCCCGTGAATTTACATTGTCGGAACCAAAGAAGGATAAGAAGGATGGGGACACCTTTCGTGTTTAAATATTTTGCATGAAGTTCACGGGTTCTTTAGACCCCCAACAAATTACGAAGTTCTGGTGTGGAAAACATTGTTCCCACGCATTTTAACGTAACGAGCCCTATTCCAAACAGTTTCACTTTTGTCGGCGAAGACAACTCAAATGCTACCGTGCTAAGGCTGATTGTGCACACATCAAGGGACCCATCTTGGACTGAAAAAGTATGACCAGCCCAATCTTAACTTCAGGTTCGCATGTCTTTGTCGGACCAACTAGAAGCCCGGCAATGCTGTTTCGAAAACGCAACCTTGTGCCGCAGTTGTTGAGAAGTGGGTCCCAAATGTCTTGGTGAGCTTTGTGCCCCAGAGAGGGGTCGAGCGGGGATGTTTCAAGGCGATCGCAGAAGTCTTTTCTCGCATCGACCACAAGTTCGACCTCATGTAGCTGGACCGGCGTCTGCGCTTGGGGATTTGTCCTTCATGTCAGTCGTTAATAAGCGGTTTTAGAAAGTGTTTCGCGCAGGAGCAATAAGCTTGGATTCCAAAGGAGCCCTTGGTGTGAGAAAGTGTGCAGCTTGTGGTTTCTGGTTGCATAAGGCCCCGAAATTGGATGGCATATGTTGCCGCCTTGTGCCACAATTTGGCGCTGCAATCCTTGAGGTTCATCGTCGGGACATCAAACCTACTGTATATATAGCAATCAAATTATATATAGCTAAGGTACTCGAAACGTGCCTTTGTGCACCACTATGTCGGTGAAGGCATGGAAGAAGGTGAATTCTCCGAAGCACGTGAGGACTTGGCGGCCTTGGAGAAACTTGGCGTTTCGGGTCACAAGTCTGGTAAGGATGATCATGCTGGTGATGGTGATGATGGTGACGATGATGCTGATGCTGATGCTGATTCTGATGATGATGATGATGATGATGTCGTGATCAGCCTGATGACACTAAAGAACGTGTTGTTCTCGTTCTCGTTCTTGTTGTGGTTGTGGTTGTGGTTATGGTTGTGGTTGTGGTTGTGGTTATGGTTGTGGGTGTGGTTGTGGTTGTGGTTGTGGTGGTGGTGGTGGTTGTTGTTGTTGTTGTTGGTTGTTGGTTGTTGGTTGTTGGTTGTTGGTTGTTGGTTGTTGGTTGTTGGTTGTTGGTTGTTGGTTGTTGGTTGTTGGTTGTTGGTTGTTGGTTGTTGTTGTTGTTGTTGTTGCTGTTGTTGTTGTTGTTGTTGTTGTTGTTGTTGTTTTGGTTGTTGTTGGTTGTTGTTGGTTGTTGTTGGTTGTTGTTGGTTGTTGTTGGTTGTGGTTGTTGTTGTTGTTGTTGTTGTTGTGGTTGTTGTTGTGGTTGTGGTTGTGGTTGTGGTTGTTGTTCTTGTTGTTGTTGTTGTTGTTGCTGCTGCTGCTGCCGCCGCCGCTGCAGTTGCTGTCGTTGTTTCGGTGATGAATATGGTGGTGATGACGGTGAACATGATGATGAGGATGATGCTGGTTTCATGATAAAAATTGTGTGGGAGAAGGCGATGATGAGGTTTTTGCACTCATGTTTTGTTGACACTGAGGATGACGATGTTGATGACCGCTGTGATTGAGTTGATGTGCTTGACAACAAGTTTGTTTTTCTTTAAGTCCCGACCCATCTTTTCGCTTGAGTTTGGAACCTCCGTGTGGTGTTTGACCTTTGGCCTGCCCGCCACGCATGGCAGCTAGGAAAGATTACGAAGAGGTCGGCATCGAAACTGCAGAGGTGCCCTGTGCTCGATATGTTTAGATGTGCTCTGCGTTTGTGAAGAGTTTCATCCATCAAACGGGTGGTTCGGGACCATTTGTGTAGTTCATTTCGATTTCGAACGGTTTACATTGTTCTTGATTTTTTGCTTTTGTTTGCATCTATTTTGGGGTTTCGCGATTTGCTTGCTCGTCTTTCTGGCTGAGGGCGAAGGTGAAGAAGAAGGGTATGGAAACTTGGTTTGCTTACTCCGTTGTTTTGCTTTCCCCCGCATGGAATCCGGTATTTTGGGAAACATAGAAATTGTTTGTGTGTTTGGCATTTTTTAGCAAATCAAAGGAGATGAGTTCTGAGTCTCACCCGCGTGAGACGAAGACGGATATCCGACCAACATCCAGATGTTATGCGCAGCCGAACTGTGCATTCTGCGCGAGGTGCTGCCAAAATGAACGCAAGCCCAGTAGGTCACAAAATCTCACAAGAGGTCGGGTTTTTGATTTGTCATTTGTTTTTCATCAAAAATTGAGCTCCGTCCTTGCATCGAAAAAATCAGACAATGATAAATGCTATGGGACATTCAGGTAGTTGGGTGTTGCACTTCGGATGAAAAACGGTGGCCAAAACATGGCTGAACAATACAGTTGATATACCTGTTAGGATTTGGTCATAAATAGGCTGAAGAGTTATGACTGCTAAGATAGTTCATATTATTTCAATCCACCCTCGCGAAAGTAACATGTTATTCCAAGAAAAAATGCGAATATTAAAATCAATGAGTAATGAGTCAATGGGCCATCATTACACAAAATTAACGTTTTTCGGGTGAATCAGCCCAGGCAGCCCGGGTTCCGGAAGCTGGGGAGTTCTCACCAGACATATTGAGACTGCTGGGCCAACCGTGATTTCTCTGTCTTTGGCTCGTTGTTTTCTTTGTTAGTGGTTACTTGTTGGCTGCCACCTGCTTGATCGGTGAAAGGTGCTGAGGCGAATCCTGACTGAAGGTGGTCTCTTCTGATGATATCTGATGATTCTGTTTGGTTCCTTTCGGCTCAAGGATTTGTGCCTGAGGTGTGCCCCATCGCACGGTGTGCTTCCGACACGAAACCCATTTGTGCAACAACTCTCTTCAGTTCGTAGCCATGCGTGAGGCAATCTGCATCCATATTGGACAGGCTCGCGGCTCTGGGTGAGACAGGCTGTACATCTTTCGCTGTCGCATATCAATAAGTATGCACAGTACACGGTGTACACGTAACATCTACATCTTCAAGCATTGACCCTTCCCCACGCACATTCTTGACGATGAACTTCGAATAGTGATTATTTTGAAGCGAGAATGGATTGCTGTGACCTCACTGCCACAGGGCGGAGTTCAGATTGGAAATGCGCCGCTTGTCTGGACCCGTTGGACGTGTTGGATGCCATGAGAAGATGGGGGGCTGAACGCCAACTACATGCTGTGGCATTTCTTTGAAGTAGAAGCCATCATGTTCACAAGAGCACACATATCCCGTGTGGCTATAAATCAAACTGATCAACACGTGACCCAGGGAACTTCTCTCACAGGGAGAAGCCGCCATTCTCATTTATTTTTCACGGGGACTCCTTGGGTCATGGTTCGTTTTCTGAATTGTCATCTTTTTCCATGGTTCCATGACTTTTCCTTGAAATCATGGGTGTGTAGCTGGTCTTTGGTCCAGGTGCTGGGAGCTTTTCTGTTTGGAGCACGGCATCCAACCTGATGGCCAGATGCCTTCCGACAAGACCATCGGCCACTGGGACATGCATTTCTTATACTCTGCTGGTCTGCTTCTGGCAAGCATAGATTCAGAATGATTCAAATATGTCCCGGAAGTCGTTCTTGCGTTGCTGGCGAAATTGGGGTGAGGCAGGCAGCAGTTAGTACTAGTCAGTCTCATGACCTTTATCCTGAGAAGAAGTTGGACAGAGGTCCGGGGATTGATCATCTGCCCTATGGCGAAGAGAAAGAATTAACGGTCAGTGTCAATATCTTTGAAAAGCGCAAGGAACCAAGAGGTTTACACCGTATGATTTTTCCCCATCTGCTCAATTTGCTGGTTCATTCTTCACCTCAGCTTGCTCAGCGCTGTGGGAGGTGGTGGAGATGACGCATTCAATACGTTCCTTGGCGAGATGGCGGGATGACTTGGGGATGGATCATTTCTCAGGTGGTTGTGTCCTTCCAGTTCTTCCAGTCATCCAGAGGATCTCGACCTGTTATTTCATCTGACACCACAGCTGGAGGGGTTCGAAAAAGAACAGGGTCATCCTACCCGAACGTTGTCGTTCAACAGCTCACACGTCTATGTTCTCAGGTTCTTCTCCGAAACTGGCGCAGGCAAGCACGTACCCCGGTGTGTGATGGTCGACTTGGCACCTTGGCAGTCATTGGTTGGATCAAGATAGGGTGGTGGTGGTTGTGGCGGCGGCGGCGGTGATGGTGATGGTGATGCTGATGGTGATGGTGATATAAACGTAAAAAAATTGCTTGCGGTGATGTTTGCGATGGCTCTTATGAATACGGTGCTGACGATGATGATGATGACGACGATGATGATGGTGATGACGACAGGCAACGACGGTGGTGTTGTTGATGATGATGATGGTGATGATGATGATGATGATGGCTATGATGACCATCGTTGTGATTTTGAGTCTGGGTGTGATGATGATCATGACGGCGATGATGATGACATCGGTGATGATGCCAAGGAACAGAAACTGGGGTTGGCATGCGGTCTGGTCACCACCACCACCACCACCACCACCACCACGACCACGACTAGACCACCATCACCACCACCAGTATCATCATCCTCATCATCATCACAACTGTCAGCACCATTAACAACGCAACATAATCGCACGCATTCTGTCCGGTAATCATCACTGTCAACATCATCATCACCGTTATCATCACCATCATCGTCGTCATCATCATCATCGTCACCATAATCGTCATAATCATCATCGTCGTCATCATCATCATCATCACAATCTTCGCCATCATCGTAATCATCAGCGTCAATGTTGTCATCGTGATCGTCAAAGTCATCATCATCATCATCGTCATCATCACCATCATCATCTTCACCAACACTGTAATCATCAAAATCGGCATTAACGTCGATATCACCAGTATCATCATTATCATCATCATCATCATCATCATCATCGCAATCAACATCGGTGCAGTTGCACCATGGGCGGTTTCATCGCCACTCCATGGCTCCCCACCGGCCAGTTCACAGTTTACTCAAACGATGTTGATGATGTGATTGGTTACTCCCGTGTCATTCCCATGTTCGCGCCTCAACCGGCAAAAATGCAATCCTGCAAGCTGCTCAGGAACCGACAGTTGTTGATGAGGTGCGCACGGGCACCTACCGTCAGCTCTTCCATCCAGAACAGTTGATTTCCGGAAAAGAAGACGCGGCCAACAACTTTGCACGAGGTGGCCGGATGCATTTTTTTCACATTGCTGGAGCATACATGCACTGTCATTGTAGCGTTCTTTAATAGACTTGGGCCGTGTATCTTGCCTCATTTTCTTGCTTGAAGTGTCAGATTGTGGGTTTTATGTTTCGGTGTTTTCCTTTGAACTTCAACGCTGCCTTCTGGACGCCATCGGCAGTTGCTTGAGGTCACTACACCATTGGCAAAGAGATTGTGGATTTGGTCCTGGACAGGATTCGGAAATTGGCGGACAACTGCACAGGAAACCCAGCTTCATCGAGTGTTTTCCATGCAAACAATCTATGCGTGCGAGCAGCCAAACAATTTAGGGTTCGGTTTTTGTGAATGTTTGCAAGCAGGAACTGCAAGTATTTTCGCTTGCCAGATGTGCACCTGCAATTTTCCTTGAGGACTGCAAGGGTTCTGCGTCTACAATGCTTGTGGAGGTGGCACTGGTTCTGGCCTGGGTTGCCTGATGTTGGAGCGTTTGTCAGTGGCATGACAGCATTTTAGAACGGCTTTCATGTCAAAGAATGCTAGCAGTTCCGTGCGTCTCTTGCATTCCCGCTGCGTCCGGTTCGTGAAGCCGAACTGCGTCCTAAGGTGGATTACGGCAAAAAGAGCAAGATCTCCTTCACTGTGTGGTGCTGCCCACAGGTTGCCACAGCAGTTGTCGAACCCTACAACACCGCGACTTCGCAGTGGTTTATGTATTCGATTTTTTGGTCCCGTGGTTGTGTTTTTGGGATCCTTTGTCAAAGACAGACAGCCAAGATTTTAGCCCACAGTCCCAAAAAGGTTCTCTGCGTGCATTCATTGTTGGAGCACACGGACGTAACGATCATGTACGACAATGAAGCTCTCTACGATATTTGTCGCAGGAACTTGGACATTGAACGCCCAACTTACACTAATTTGAACAGGCTGATTGCCCAGATTATCTCGAGCTTGACAGCCTCCCTTCGCGACTTGTCTGATGAAGTAGAGCAGTCAAAGTAGGTTTCAGTTGCGCACAAGACGTCGTTATACACATGTACAGCATTCATCAAGGATAATGAAAGTTACCAATACATTCACACACATTGCAACGTAATATGGAGCACTTGTTTCAAATCCGGCCGCGCATACAAATTCATTTATTGACCAGTGGGGCGGAAGTTTCGGAAAGAGTAGAAAAGTGAAGCAGCGGGCCATGATGGAATGAACGGCTGGGTGAAACCAAATGACACCAGCACATGAAATCAAAGGAAATGAAATGAAATCACGAAGAGGGAAGGAAAGGAAAAGTTAGGGAAGGGAAGGGGAGAAAATCACATGAAATGAGAGACATGAAAGCCTGAAAGAATGAAAGAAAGAAGGATTGAACGAATGAACTGGCTGCATGGCTGAATGATTCACTGGCTGACTGACTGACTGATTGACTGGCTGGCTGGCTGGCTGACTGACTGACTGACTGAGGGACGGACGGACAGACGGACTGGCTGCGTGAGCCAAGTCTTCTTTGCACAGCCTTAGTTTCCCCGAGCTTCTTTAGTGGGCTGCCTCTTCTCTGAGCCTCTTCTTCTCTGAGCTAGCTCTTCTGCAACCAATGTCTTCTCTTTACGATGCCTTCAGCAACCTCCCGTTTGGCAACCTCCTGTTTGAAATCCCACATAGCACGAAAGTCGCACCATGTCTAAAAACTGTCCGTCGCGCAGCTGTCGCATTGCGTTTGGCAACCTCGCAGCTGCAGGAGCGTCGGCGCCATTTAGCAAATGGTAACCTCCATCTGCAGTCCTGAATCGGCGGAGAGTCGCAGCGTCACTAAGATTCCTGTGCGCAGCTGTTCCAAGGTGTATCGCCACCCGAGTTCCAACCCTGCATAGCGTGGACGCACAAATGCGCAGACTCCGGCTATTCTCAGACCGTCACTTTTTAAGCGCTATTTTGGCAGACTACAGCCCGCAACCGCCGTGGAAACAACCTTCCCTCAGCAAAGCCTTCGGGGGCACAATACCTATTTAAAAACACATTGATTTGTGCACCTTTCATCCTTCCACCTGCAAACTCACACTCTCCCTGCCTCTTGCCGTGCGTAGTACCAACTTCCGATTAGTGTTGCTACCTGTATGGTTGACATGCAAAGAAGCCCCCCACTCACATGTGTCCGCAACTCGGAAGTTTGCTATCATGATGTTTCCTTTCGCTATTCCATCCTCTCACACACATGTACAAGAATGTTCATCCGTGAAAAAAGAATATGCACGCTTCGAACCGCACACAGCCATTCAGCTGCAAGTATGGATGTCTACATCTTTGTAATTAACCCTCGGGTATACAGACACATGCAGAGACATCGCATATACATGTTAAATTTGCCTTTATATACATTTACCTTTTTGACCCAGGCAGACAGCAAGCAGACGGACCGACCAACGGACAGACCGGCAGGCAGACCGACAGGCAGACCGGCAGGCAGACGGACAGGCAGAACGACAGACAGACACATACACACATACAAAAGACTTGCCTACCTACCTACCTACCTAACTACCTATAGATATACATACATGCATAGACAGATAGACAAATAGACAGACAGATAGACGAATAAACAAACATAGACAAATAGACAGAAAGGCAGACAGACAGAGAGATAGAAAGCTAGATGCGTTGGCACACAGATACATGTTTAGATAGATACATGCATACATGCTGGCACATGCGCAGGCAAACTGCACAAACACATACGTGTTCTAGAAAAGCACATGTGTATTGCGCACAAACAGGCACAGGTACATTTATGCATGCGCACAGAAGTACATACGGGCATACTTATTTGCATACACATGTGCTTGTGTACATGCGCACATACGAACATGTGGCATGTGTATACATACGGACCTGCAGGCAGATTTACATACATACATACATACATGCGTGCACGCATGCGTAGGTACGTGTACAAGCACGCTCATTCAACAAGAACCGGTCAGTGACAATTTCTACCGTATCCGCACATTACCTCGACTGTGGCCATTTCAGTTTCCTTTCAATATCGCTATGGATAGAGAATGCCTGGTGCAGAAAATGAATAGGTCGACAGCCGAAAAAGTGACCAGGTTTTGATGGGGCATTGAATGTGGACATCACCGAGTGTCTTGGATTTGCTTTATTGATTGCCCCCAAGTTGTTCTGCATGTACGGATCCCTTTCCAGAAACGATTCGTTCGTTCGCAAACAACACTACCCTGCAGGTTCCAAACCAATTTGGTTCCATATCCGCGCATCCACTTCATGTTGACCTCCTATGCTCCAGTCATCTCCGCGGAGAAGGCATACCATGAGCAGCTTTCTGTGGCAGAGATCACCATGTCCGTGTTCGAACCAGCCTCGATGATGGTGAAGTGTGACCCCCGCCACGGCAAGTACATGGCTTGCTGCATGATGTACCGTGGAGACTCAGCTGAAAGTCTGATCACCGTCGCTTACTGCCTTTGTTTCAAAGACCAGTCAAGCGCACGGTGGGTGCTTCCATGCACTTTGTCTCTGTGATTGACACCATCCTGCCACGGCCCTTCTCCAATATGCATACATCCATGTCTTTTTCTTTCTCCTTTGCATAAGTTTATTCACTTGATTCAAAATGCATTCGTTGGCCCAGGAGATGTGGTGCCAAAGGATGTGAATGCGGCAGTTGCCACCATCAAGACCAAGCGAACCATCCAGTTCGTGGATTGGTGCCCCACTGGCTTCAAGTGCGGCATCAACTATCAACCACCTACTGATGCTGGGGCTTGCTTAACGTCTTCTGTTCTCATGGGCTCACCCACTTGACTCGGGGAGGGCATCTTTGGGGGTATCTTATTTTGTTGGCAGTGGTCAAATCCAAGGTGGTTCCTGGAGGTGATTTGGCCAAAGTCATGCGTGCCTGCTGCATGATATCAAATTCCACTGCCACTAGCACTGCAGTTGTTTGCTCCGGTGAATTTACATTGTCGGAACCAAAGAAGGATAAGAAGGATGGGGACACCTCCGTGTTTAAATAGTTTGCATGAAGTTCGCGGGTTCTTTAGACCCCCAACAAATTACGAAGTTCGGGGGTGGAAAACATTGTTCCCACGCATTTTAACGTAACGAGCCCTATTCCAAACAGTTTCACTTTTGTCGGCGAAGACAATTCAAATGCTACCGTGCTAAGGCTGATTGTGCACACATCAAGGGACCCATCTTGGACTGAAAAAGTATGATCAGCCCAATCTTAACTTCAGGTTCGCATGTCTTTATCGGACCAACTAGAAGCCCGGCAATGCTGTTTTCGAAAACGCAACCTTGTGCCGCAGTTGTTGAGAAGTGGGTCCCAAATGTCTTGGTGAGCTTTGTGCCCCAGAGAGGGGTCGAGCGGGGATGTTTCAAGGCGATCGCAGAAGTCTTTTCTCGCATCGACCACAAGTTCGACCTCATGTAGCTGGACCGGCGTCTGCGCTTGGGGATTTGTCCTTCATGTCAGTCGTTAATAAGCGGTTTTAGAAAGTGTTTCGTGCAGGAGCAATAAGCTTGGATCCCAAAGGAGCCCTTGATGTGAGAAAGTGTGCAGCTTGTGGTTTCTGGTTGCATAAGGCCCCGAAATTGGATGGCATATGTTGTCGCCTTGTGCCACACTTTGGCGCTGCAATCCTTGAGGTTCATCGTCGGGACATCAAACCTACTGTATATATAGCAATCAAATTATATATAGCTAAGGTACTCGAAACGTGCCTTTGTGCACCACTATGTCGGTGAAGGCATGGAAGAAGGTGAATTCTCCGAAGCACGTGAGGACTTGGCGGCCTTGGAGAAACTTGGCGTTTCGGGTCACAAGTCTGGTAAGGATGATCATGCTGGTGATGGTGATGATGATGACGATGGTGATGATGATGATGATGGTGATGATGATGATGATGATGTGGTGATCAGCCTGATGACAATAAAGAACATGGTGTTCTCGTTCTCGTTCTTGTTGTGGTTGTGGTTGTGGTTATGGTTATGGTTGTGGTTGTGGTTATGGTTGTGGTTGTGGTTGTTGTTGTCGTTGTTGTCGTTGTCGTTGTCGTTGTCGTGTCGTTGTGGTTGTGGTTGTGGTTGTGGTTGTGGTTGTGATTGTGGTTGTGGTTGTGGTCGTGGTCGTGGTCGTCGTTGTTGTTGTTGTTGTTGGTTGTTGGTTGTTGGTTGTTGGTTGTTGGTTGTTGGCTGTTGGCTGTTGGCTGTTGGCTGTTGGCTGTTGGCTGTTGGCTGTTGGCTGTTGGCTGTTGATGTGGCTGTTGGATGTTGGTGTTGGGGGATGTGGCGTTGGCTGTGTGGTTGGTTGGTGTTGTTGTTGGTTGTTGTTTTTGTTGTTGGTTGTTGGTTGTTGTTGGTTGTTGGTTGTTGTTGTTGTTGTGGTTGGTTGGTTGGTGTTGTTGGTTGTTGGTTGTTGGTTGGTGGTTGGTGGTTGTTGGTTGTTGGTTGTTGGTTGTTGGTTGTTGGTTGTTGGTTGTTGGTTGTTGGTTGTTGGTTGTTGGTTGTTGGTTGTTGGTTGTTGGTTGTTGGGTGTTGGTTGTTGGTTGTGGTTGTGGTTGTGGTTGTTGTTGTTGTTGTTGTTGTTGATGTTGTGGTCGTCGTCGTCGTCGTGGTCGTCGTGGTCGTCGTCGTCGTCGTCGTCGTCGTGGTCGTCGTCGTCGTCGTCGTTGTCGTCGTCGTCGTTGTCGTTGTTGTCGTTGTTGTCGTTGTTGTTGTTGTTGCTGCTGCTGCCGCTGCAGTTGCCGTTGTTTCGGTGATGAATATGGCGGTGATGACGGTGAACATGATGATGAGGATGATGCTGGTTTCATGATGAAAATGCTGTGGGAGAAGGCGATGATGAGGTTTTTGCACTGATGTTTTGTTGACACTGAGGATGATGATGTTGATGACCGTTGTGATTGAGTTGATGTGCTTGACAACAAGTTTGTTTTTCTTTAAGTCCCAACCCATCTATACCCATCTTTTCTGTTGAGTTTGGAACCTCCGTGTGGTGTTTGACCTTTGGCCTGCCTGCCACGCATGGCAGCTAGGAAAGATTACGAAGAGGTCGGCATCGAAACTGCAGAGGTGCTCTGTGCTGAGATGTTTAGATGTGCTCTGCGTTTGTGAAGAGTTTCATCCATCAAACGGGTGGTTCGGGACCATTTGTGTAGTTCATGTCGATTTCAAACGGTTTACATTGTTCTTGATTTCTTGCTTTTGTTTGCATCTAATTTGGGGTTTCGCGATTTGATTGCTCGTCTTTCTGGCTGAGGGCGAAGGTGAAGAAGAAGGGTATGGAAACTTGGTTTGCTTACCCCGTTGTTTTGTTTTCCCCCGCATGGAATCCGGTATTTTGGGAAACATAGAAATTGTTTGTGTGTTTGGCATTTTTTAGCAAATCAAAGGAGATGAGTTCTGAGTCTCACCCGCGTGAGACGAAGACGGATATCCGACCAACATCCAGATGTGATGCGCAGCCGAACTCTGTGCATTCTGCGCGAGGTGCTGCCAAAATGAACGCAAACCCAGTAGGTCACAAAATCTCACAAGAGGTCGGGTTTTTGATTTGTCATTTGTTTTTCATCAAAAATTGAGTTCCGTCCTTGCATCGGAAAATTCAGACAATGATAAATGCCGTGGGACATTCAGGTAGTTGGGTGTTGCACTTCCGATGAAAAACAGTGGCCAAAACATGGCTGAACAATGCAGCTGATATACCTGTTAGGATTTGGTCATAAATAGGCTGAAGAGTTATGACTGCTAAGATAGTTCATATTATTTCAATCCACCCTCGCGAAAGTAACATGTTATTCCAAGAAAAAATGCGAATATTAAAATCAATGAGTAATGAGTCAATGAGCCATCACTACACAAATTTAACGTTTTTCGGGTGAATCAGCCCAGGCAGCCTGGGTTCCGGAAGCTGGGGAGTTCTCACCAGACATATTGAGACTGCTGGGCCAGCCGTGATTTCTCTGTCTTTGGCTCGTTGTTTTCTTGGTTAGTGGTTACTTGTTGGCTGCCACCTGTTTGATCGGTGAAAGGTGCTGAGGCGAATCCTGACTGAAGGTGGTCTCTTCTGATGATATCTGATGATTCTGTTTGGTTCCTTTCGGCTCAAGGATTTGTGCCTGAGGTGTGCCCCATCGCACGGTGTGCTTCCGACACGAAACCCATTTGTGCAACAACTCTCTTCAGTTCGTAGCCATGCGTGAGGCAATCTGCATCCATATTGGACAGGCCTGCGGCTGGTTGGGCTCTGGGTGAGACAGTCTGTACATCTTTCGCTGTCGCATATCAACAGATATATGCACAGTACACGGTGTACACGTAACATCTACATCTTCAAGCATTGACCCTTCCCCACGCACATTCTTGACGATGAACTTCGAATAGTGGTTGTTTTGAAGCGAGAATGGATTGCTGTGACCTCACTGCCACAGGGCGGAGTTCAGATTGGAAATGCGCCGCTTGTCTGGACCCGTTGGACGTGTTGGATGCCATGAGAAGATGGGGGGCTGAACGCCAACTACATGCTGTGGCATTTCTTTGAAGTAGAAGCCATCATGTTCACAAGAGCACACATATCCCGTGTGGCTATAAATCAAACTGATCAACACGTGACCCAGGGAACTTCTCTCACAGGGAGAAACCACCATTCTCATTTATTTTCCACGGGGACTCCTTTGGTCATGGTTCGTTTTCTGCTTTTAGGCACCTTTTTTCCATGGTTCCATGACTTTTCCTTGAAATCATGGGTGTGTAGCTGGTCTTTGGTCCAGGTGCTGGGAGCTTTTCTGTTTGGGGCACGGCATCCAACCTGATGGCCAGATGCCTTCCGACAAGACCATCGGCCACTGGGACATGCATTTCTTATACTCTGCTGGTCTGCTTCTGGCAAGCATAGATTCAGAATGATTCAAATATGTCCCGGAAGTCGTTCTTGCGTTGCTGGCGAAATTGGGGTGAGGCAGGCAGCAGTTAGTACTAGTCAGTCTCATGACCTTTATCCTGAGAAGAAGTTGGACAGAGGTCCGGGGATTGATCATCTGCCCTATGGTGAAGAGAAAGAATTAACGGTCAGTGTCAATATCTTTGAAAAGCGCAAGGAACCAAGAGGTCTACACCGTATGATTTTTCCCCATCTGCTCAATTTGCTGGTTCATTCTTCACCTCAGCTTGCTATGCGCTGTGGGAGGTGGTGGAGATGACGCATTCAATACGTTCCTTGGCGAGATGGCGGGATGACTTGGGGATGGATCATTTCTCAGGTGGTTGTGTCCTTCCAGTTCTTCCAGCCCTCCAGAGGATCTCGACGTGTTATTTCATCTGACACCACAGCTGGAGGGGTTGGAAAAAGAACAGGGTCATCCTACCCGAACGTTGTCGTTCAACAGCTCACACGTCTATGTTCTCAGGTTCTTCTCCGAAACTGGCGCGGGCAAGCACGTACCCCGGTGTGTGATGGTCGACTTGGCACCTTGGCAGTCATTGGTTGGATCAAGATAGGGTGGTGGTGGTTGTGGCGGCGGCGGCGGTGATGGTGATGGTGATGCTGATGGTGATGGTGATATAAACGTAAAACAATTGTTTGCGGTGATGTTTGCGATGGCTCTTTTGAATACGGTGCTGACGATGATGATGATGACGACGATGATGATGGTGATGACGACGGTAACGGCGGTGGTGTTGATGATGATGATGATGATGGTGATGATGATGATGATGGTGATGATGATGATGATGGCTATGATGACGATGGTTGTGATTTTGAGTCTGGGTGTGATGATGATCATGACGGCGATGATGATGACATCGGTGATGATGCCAAGGAACAGAAACTGGGGTTGGCATGCGGTCTGGTCACCACCACCACCACCACCACCACCACCACGACCACGACTAGACCACCATCACCACCACCAGTATCATCATCCTCATCATCATCACAACTGTCAGCACCATTAACAACGCAACATAATCGCACGCATTCTGTCCGGTAATCATCACTGTCAACATCATCATCACCGTTATCATCACCATCATCGTCGTCATCATCATCATCGTCACCATAATCGTCATAATCATCATCGTCGTCATCATCATCATCATCACAATCTTCGCCATCATCGTAATCATCAGCGTCAATGTTGTCATCGTGATCGTCAAAGTCATCATCATCATCATCGTCATCATCACCATCATCATCTTCACCAACACTGTAATCATCAAAATCGGCATTAACGTCGATATCACCAGTATCATCATTATCATCATCATCATCATCATCATCATCGCAATCAACATCGGTGCAGTTGCACCATGGGCGGTTTCATCGCCACTCCATGGCTCCCCACCGGCCAGTTCACAGTTTACTCAAACGATGTTGATGATGTGATTGGTTACTCCCGTGTCATTCCCATGTTCGCGCCTCAACCGGCAAAAATGCAATCCTGCAAGCTGCTCAGGAACCGACAGTTGTTGATGAGGTGCGCACGGGCACCTACCGTCAGCTCTTCCATCCAGAACAGTTGATTTCCGGAAAAGAAGACGCGGCCAACAACTTTGCACGAGGTGGCCGGATGCATTTTTTTCACATTGCTGGAGCATACATGCACTGTCATTGTAGCGTTCTTTAATAGACTTGGGCCGTGTATCTTGCCTCATTTTCTTGCTTGAAGTGTCAGATTGTGGGTTTTATGTTTCGGTATTTTGTTTTGAACTCCAACGCTGACTTCTGGACGCCATCGGCAGTTGCACGAGGTCACTATACCATTGGCAAAGAGATTGTGGATTTGGTCCTGGACAGGATTCGGAAATTGGCGGACAACTGCACAGGAAACCCAGCTTCATCGAGTGTTTTCCATGCAAACAATCTATGCGTGCGAGCAGCCAAACAATTTAGGGTTCTGTTTTTGTTAATGTTTGCAAGCCAGAACTGCAAGTATTTTCGCTTGCCAGATGTGCACCTGCAATTTTCCTTGAGGACTGCAAGGGTTCTGCGTCTACAATGCTTGTGGAGGTGGCACTGGTTCTGGCCTGGGTTGCCTGATGTTGGAGCGTTTGTCAGTGGCATGACAGCATTTTAGAACGGCTTTCATGTCAAAGAATGCTAGCAGTTCCCTGCGTCTCTTGCATTCCCGCTGCGTCCGGTTCGTGAAGCCGAACTGCGTCCTAAGGTGGATTACGGCAAAAAGAGCAAGATCTCCTTCACTGTGTGGTGCTGCCCACAGGTTGCCACAGCAGTTGTCGAACCCTACAACACCGCGACTTCGCAGTGGTTTATGTATTCGATTTTTTGGTCCCGTGGTTGTGTTTTTGGGATCCTTTGTCAAAGACAGACAGCCAAGATTTTAGCCCACAGTCCCAAAAAGGTTCTCTGCGTGCATTCATTGTTGGAGCACACGGACGTAACGATCATGTACGACAATGAAGCTCTCTACGATATTTGTCGCAGGAACTTGGACATTGAACGCCCAACTTACACTAATTTGAACAGGCTGATTGCCCAGATTATCTCGAGCTTGACCGCCTCCCTTCGCGACTTGTCTGATGAAGTAGAGCAGTCAAAGTAGGTTTCAGTTGCGCACAAGACGTCGTTATACACATGTACAGCATTCATCAAGGATAGTGAAGGTTACCAATACATTCACACATTGAAACGTAATATGGAGCACTTGTTTCAAATCCGGCCGCGCATACAAATTCATTTATTTACCAGTGGGGCGGAAGTTTCGGAAAGAGTAGAAAAGTGAAGCAACTGTACATGATGGAATGAACGACTGGGTGAAACCAAATGACACCAGCACATGAAATCAAAGGAAATGAAATGAAATCACGAAGAGGGAAGGAAAGGAAAAGTTAGGGAAGGGAAGGGGAGAAAATCACATGAAATGAGAGAAATGAAAGCCTGAAAGAATGAAAGAAAGAAGGATTGAACGAATGAACTGGCTGCATGGCTGAATGATTCACTGGCTGACTGACTGACTGACTGGCTGGCTAACTGACTGACTGGCTGACTGACTGACTGAGGGACGGACGGACAGACGGACTGGCTGCGTGAGCCAAGTCTTCTTTGCGCAGCCTTAGTTTCCCCGAGCTTCTTTAGCAGGCTGCCTCTTCTCTGAGCCTCTTCTTCTCTGAGCTAGCTCTTCTGCAACCAATGTCTTCTCTTTACGATGCCTTGAGCAACCTCCCGTTTGGCAACCTCCTGTTTGAAATCCCACATAGCACGAAAGTCGCACCATGTCTAAAAACTGTCCGTGGGTTCGACGTCCTCCTCGTGGGTGATCCAGCGGACGACCATCACTGAGTTACTGAAGTGACGGCGGTGGTCGGCAAAGGCGCAGGGGGTCAACATGTTTCACGCGACTTACCTGCCAGCAGTGCAATGTTTGCCATGTCACATCATAGCACTGTGCCACATGAACCCAACTCAAATGTTTTCTCCAATGGGGTAGGGGCTGCTGCGTCCCTATCTGACTTCAGCAGCATTCGTCACTTTCGTTCCAGTGGCCCAGTTCCCAGCAGTAGTAATACACTCCATGATGTTCTTCAAGGGAATCTTCATGAGACTAGTTTTGTACAGAGCAATCGCAATCGTAAGAGGCGAGAGCGCCGCCAAGCAAGGATGCAAAGGAAACAAGAGACAAACCGACACATGAAACGTAGAATGATTTGGAACAGGATGCAGAGGGAAGAAAGGATTGCACGAGACCAGGCAGCTGACCAGAAACAGCTACCACATATTCAGGTGCCTGCCCAGCCGGGCTATGTTAGGATTGGCCATATTTTATATTGAAAAGAGCAACCCTGAAAAACTTGAACAGTTGGTGTGTCTTGCAGCACACCGGGGCTGGGAGGTAACTATAGTCTCCGCATGCTGTCCTACAGCCAGGGGTGCTAGACAGAATCCCCAGGTAAACTGTTGGCACTGGAAGTGGGAGGGATGGGAGCTGATCGACACAGGATCTGTAGGAATCCTCCTCAACCCTGACTGGAGCCACGCATGGCATACACACCGTGCCCCCAAATACCGGTCACCCACCGGACGTGTGTTATCCCTTGTGCTACCCAGAGACCCCTTAAGCGATACCGGGCAACGCCCTCCTTCATGGCTTGTCACAGCAGTTTGGGCCCCTTTCTCTACTTCGACGGTCGAAGAACTTGACACGTTTTGGGATGAAATTGCATGTGCCACACGCAGAGAATGTCAATTCAGACCGGAATCAAGGCTCACTGCCACACTTCATGAACATACCCTGAGCAAAAGAAGAAGATCGAGCCGCAGGTCATCTATTTGAAGTTGAGCGGCCAACACTACGAATGGCTCAAGCCTCTCAAAGAAATCAGTGAGGAGACGCATGCGATGTGGCTGAGCACGGCCAAGCTCCGCCCACCAACTCTGAAAGGTGGCGGCAAAAGGAGCTCCAAAAGGTCCCTGCTCAGCTCATGTTGACACAAGATGTTATCAATTGTCGATGGGGACGCATAGCTCTCTCTTGAATAACGACAACTTCATCATCAGTGGCAAGGTCGATAGCATTGCTGAGTTGTCGTTGATATGCGGCGTTCTTAGGATTGAAAACAAAAGCTAAAGCAAAAACTCCGAAATCAAGTGACAAGTCCCTGGACGCTTCGCCTGCCAGCATCCCGGGATTGAAACAGAAGACACACGTGGCCAAAAAGGCCGCGAGTGCAACACATGACATGCATGCCAGCAGCAGTGCCTCAGCATGCAAAGACTCAGAGGCATTAAGCATTTTGGGTCTCCAACAAAATGCACACACTCGCAAGTCAGCAGGCAGCCAGTCTCTTGACAGCTCGGCCGCCAGCATCTTGGGCTTACGGAAACAGCCTCAAGGTGCCAAGAAGGCCAGCAAAGCCCCACTAGACAACCCAGAAGAAATCCCCCCGGCCCAGGACCAAAGGCCGGTGACCATTTGCGATGCCCCGGGGGATGGACACCGCCACCAGGGACAAAAACTGCTCAGTATACTAAAGCTGCGCAACACTGGCACAAATGCCGGGGAGAGAAGCCTCCCCAGGCCCCCAAAAAGCAAAAACTTGCCATTCTTGCCCAGGCGGGCCAAACTGCAGCTCAGATAGCCAAAGGTTCAGCGGAAGCTTCTTGGACAACTTCGACCAAGGAGATCAGTGAGAAACACCCACAGCTTGCCAGCAGCATCTGCCAGCCCAACTTTGATGTCCCCTTCTATTCACCAAAAATGGGGCGCCAGTTCCCATGCAAAGTTTGTGGTCAACAGAGGGGATTCAATCGCATGAGACGCTTCCCGTGCAAGAAGCGACCTGCCGATATTACCATTCGCCAGTGGCAAACGACAATCTTCGGAAAATTCCTCGACCCAGGTCGAAAATCTTCAGAAACCAGATCTCGAAAGGATCCAGCATGGAGAAGGCGGGCCGCAGACAAAGCGGCCACGAAACGCCGCGAAAATGGGGCTCTGGAAGGACAGGGCCGCAGACGGGATTTGCTGAAGAAACACGAGTGACAGGAACGCCAAAAAGCCTGGAACATTTTATCACTGAATTGCACTGTGCTCACCAGAGCACGTTTACTGACAATCTTGAATCATGCCAACACTCAAGAAGCTGATTTCATCTTTTTGCAAGAAACACGACACCACGCTCCAACCTTGCCTTGGGCAGCTCGAGCTGCCGCAGATCTAGGATGGAATATTCACCTCTCTGAGCCGCCGCCCTATAATGCTAGAGACACACCCAAACAGGGTGGCACGGCGGTACTTTGGAAGAAAACCTTAAACACAGGAAAAAGTAGCATTTTGCCTTTTGCCTTTACAATCACGTGGCATCCACAGCCACCGTAATTGTCAAATTACTTTTCCTCACCTCTCAATAATGTCTGCCTACGGACCAGCTAAGGCATGCGACCGTAAATGGTTCTCGGAAGTAATGTTTGATAGCCACGCTTCCCAAAAACTTTGTCAAATGGTCATTGGTGATTTCAACTGGGGTAATCCTTATGATCATCTTATTCCCGAAAGCTAGAATATGGCCACTCCAAAAACCACAGCCCATTCTGGTACTGTACCAACTAGGGCTTTGTGCACTCACCCGGTGCAACAAGTTCAAGCCACGCCTTTGCCAGGTATACCAACTCATTTAGCGGTGCTCTACAAGGTGCGGTCACCGCTTGCCAGTGAAAGGCCTGAGACTCACCGCATGAGGCCCCGGAGATGTGCTAGCTTCAGTTGGAATGCCACGTCTGGTATTTCAAATGCACAGCTGGACCATATCATTTCTGAAGTGAATTATGTTTGCCCACACTTGGATGCATCACACTCGCTAGTGGACCGCTGGCGACAGTGGCATAGCCGCGTGGAAAAAGCATTTGAAGTCTCTGTCCAAGATGGACATGCTGAAAAAACATCCAAGGCCGAACGGCCAAAAGGATCGCTACCCACTTTTAGACCCAGTGATTCATTCCCTGCTCACAGGCATCCGCAAAGTTTGCTTCACCGTAGGTTGCTTGGGCTGCACAGGTCTTTTGCTGAACTTAGTAGGCAGGGTTTTCACAACGACATGCATATGCCAGGTGGCCTGATTAGACGCATGAATGTGGCGCTGCTGGCCGCGAACCAGCAGCCTTGTTCAAACACTTGCAGCATGCAAGCTGCATTTGCTATCCTTGATAACCTGATCAGGAAAGAGGAAGAAAACACAGCTTCTCAGAAAAGACAAGCTTGGAAAAGGAATTTTAAGACTTTCAGTCAAAGCATTTGGAAGCCTGCCAAAATGATTCTTAAGGATCCCCAGCTTAACTCTAGTTTTTCTGCTCACGATGCGTAAAGACTGGGAACCACACTGGTGCCCGTCAAAAAACATGGCGCGCACAGCTAAAGCCAGCTGGCGTAAAATTGCAGACGACGCAGACTTTGGTGTAGTTTCAGAAGAGTCTCCTGACTTGACCCTCCCAAACTGGGACGACTTTGCTGCAAGCATGATGAAAGCTTCCGGCAGCGCCGGCTTTGACGGCTGGACTGCAACTGAGGTTCATGCAATGCTTAAGCATCTCAAACCTTTTGCCAAGGAGCTTTACGAACTCTGGTGTGAAACTTCACTTCTTTGTGCGACACAACGGGTTGTTGACTCGGAAGTTAACTGTTTGCTTTGGCCATGGAAAGTTGTAAGCATTCCCAAAAAGACCCCTTTTGATTCTAGACCCATCAGCATATCTAGTGTTTTACTTCGTCTATGGCACAGTTCCCTGCTACGAATTTGCCCACATCCCCCTGAGGGTCAGTGGTGTGGGAAAATCAACACTGCAGTTACTCATGCAACAGCTAGCTTTTTTGCTGCAGAGCCTGCTCATATCGCCGAGACCGACTTGAGTAAGGCCTTTGACCATTTATGGCCTGCTGTGGCCACGTCAGCCTTAAAGTATCTTGGTGCACCCAGCACGGTTGTTGGGACTGTCCACCATGCGTGGCATGGACCCAGGGTTTGCACTGTAGCCAGCGACATGGCAGGCCCATTTTGTCCCATTCGAGGAATTCCCCAAGGCGACCCTATTAGTCCCTTGGCTTTAGGTGCTAGCTTGGGTCCTTGGTCAAAAACGGTCCAGCAGATCGATCCTTTAATCAAGGCATGGATGATCACACGATTGCTATCACACGAGCAGGTAGCAGGGACCTTCTCAGCGCGGCCCTGTCCTTCACCAGACACTTTGACCAACAGGTGGGTTTCCAAATCAACAGTGACTAAACTCAGGTTTGGTCTTGCGAAGACCACACACCCACTGACTTCGTCCTTGAACATTTAGGCATTAAATACAACCCCGCCAATGTCAATTCTCTCATCACACCTAAGGACCCTTTGAAATTTGAAATGGCCATTCAAGGACTCTCCCATTGCCCGGGGAATATTGAAGTAAGAAGTAAACTTGTTATGGCTTTCATTCGTTCCCTTCAAGATTGGGCCTCACCACTGTTCACGCCAGGAACCAGGCAAGATGCCAAGGCACTGTTTCGTGCAGTGACGCGCGCGAAAGCAACTTGGTGGTGTTAAGCTAGGTTTTGGTGTCAACACATTGACCTCCATCCCAGGTTTGGAATGGCTATTGGCGGGTTGTGTAACGCCAGCAGGCTTCTCCAGTACTCATGCCAGCGTTTAACTAACGTAATCAAAATGCATTGCGCCGTTCTCAAACTCAAACTTGTTCGCATTAACTCCTCACAAATCGTTGTGCAAACTTGCGATTCAACATTGCAGTGCGGGCAGCAGGCCGGCAACCATGTAGGTGATTTTGACCAGACCACCACTCTTGAAGCCACCGATCCTGACGATGTTGATCCTCGTATCAGACATGCTCTACGGATCAGGGCTCGCAAGCTTGTTCTCCGGGAGATCCAACGCGACAGGTTTGACTTCGAAGGTGCTGATAAGATTGACTTGGAAATTTACTCACACAAAAAATGGAAGCTTTTTCTTAAATCTCTTTCCACACAGGATAAGAACACCTTGATGATCTGGCAATCAGGTGCTATTTGGACACAAACACGTAGATTCTATCGACCCAATAATTCTGACACTCGCGCGGCATGTTTCTTTTGTGATGAGGCACAAGCCAGCGCCAAACACTTCTTTTGCCATTGTCCCAAGTTTGCCAGCTTGAGATTGCAACTGCAAAGCCAGTGCTCCATCCCACCTGATTGGTGGGAAAACCAACCAAGATGCACCAGCAAATCTGGCTGACTAACTTATTCGAGTGCGCAAACACTCGACATGAGAGTACAGCGTGTGATCGCTGCCAATCAATTAGGCATACATATCGCCAACATAGTTTTTGCAATGAAGAAAGAGCTGAACCTTTGACTTTAACATTAACAGTTCCACACCTAGGAACTTAAAACTTTGCTGTGGTCACTTGATCTTTCCGAAGCGTTAACCTGTGACATGTGCAACTAAACCATTTCATACTAGTGTGGGCATTACACTCCAGCGATGATGAACTTTCCTGGATCTTGCAGGGGCTCTACGCTGTGGAGTCAGTTCACCGCTGGTTCCCCCTGCGTCTTAACCCAGAGTCAGGTTGGCGCAGATGAACAACAAAAAAAGAAGAAGAAGAAGGGTTCCGGAGAAGGTTCCGGAGGTTCCGGGAGGCTTCGGTGCAGGGCCAGGTCAGGTTCAGCAGGGCCCACGGAAACCCAGCTGGGGTGTTTCCAGCGCTTGGCTTCGCAGCACGCTTCAGAAAGAATTGTGAAAATAAAACGTTGTGGCTGTTGGGGATACCACCGAAGCTTATTGAGCACTATTTTGGCAGACTACATACAGCCCGCAACCGTGGAAACAACCTTCCCTCAGCAAAGCCTTTGGGGGCACAATGCCTATTTAAAAACACATTAATTTGTGCACCTTTCATCCTTTCACCTGCAAACTCACACACACACACTCTCTCTCTCTCTGCCTCTTGCTGTGCGTAACGTTTTCATTGACTGCTGTATCAATTTCCCGATTAGTGTTGCTACCTGTATGGTTGACATGCTAAGAAGCCCCCCACTGACATGTGTCCGCAACTCGGAAGTTTGCTACAAGGTTTCCTGTCGCTATTCCATCCTCTTACACGCACATGTACAAGATGTTCATCCGTGAAAAAAGAATGTGCACACTTGGAACCACACACAGCCATTCAGCTGCAAGCATGGATGTCTACATCTTTGTAATTGACCCTTGGGTATACAGACACATGTAGACACACACATATATACATGTTAAATTTACATCTATATACATATACATCATATACCTTTTGACCCAGGCAGACAGCAAACAGACAGACAGACCAACGGACAGACCGGCAGGCAGACCGGCAGGCAGACCGGCAGGCAGACCGACAGGCAGACCGGCAGGCAGACGGACAGGCAGAACGACAGACAGACGCATACACACATACAAAATACCTACCTACCTACCTACCTAGCTAGCTAGCTACCTACCTATAGCTACCTATAGCTACCTATAGCTACCTATAGCTACCTATAGCTACCTATAGCTACCTATAGCTACCTATAGCTACCTATAGCTACCTATAGCTACCTATAGCTACCTATAGCTACCTATAGCTACCTAGCTACCTAGCTACCTACCTACCTACCTATAGATATGCATACATGCATAGACAGGTAGACAGATAGACAGACAGCAAACATAGACAGATAGGCAGAAAGACAGACAGACAGATAGATAGAAAGCTAGATGCATAGGTACACAGATACATACATATTTAGATAGATACATGCATACATGCTGTCACATGCGCAGACAAACTGCACAAACACATATGTGTTCTAGAAAAGCAAGTGTGTAATGTGCACAAATAGGTACAGGTACATTTTTGCATGCGCACAGAAGTACATACGAGCACACTTATTTGCATACATATGTGCTTGTGTACCTGCGCACATACGAACATGTGGCGTGTGTATACATACGGACCTGCAGGCAGATTTACATACATACATGCATGCACGCATGCGTAGGTACGTGTACAAGCACACTCATTCAACAAGAACGGGTCAGTGACAATTTCTACCGTATCCGCACATTACCTCGACTTTGGCCATTTCAGTTTCCTTTCAATATCGATATGGACAGAGAATGCCTGGTGCAGAAAATGAATAAGTCGACAGCCGAAAAAGTGACCAGGTTTTGATGGGGCATTGAATGTGGACATCACTGAGTGTCTTGGATTTGCTTTATTGATTGCCCCAAAGTTGTTCTGCATGTACGGATCCCTTTCCAGAAACGATTCGTTCGTTCGCAAACAACACGACCCGGCAGGTTCCAAACGAATTTGGTTCCATATCCGCGCATCCACTTCATGTTGACCTCCTATGCTCCAGTCATCTCCGCGGAGAAGGCATACCATGAGCAGCTTTCTGTGGCAGAGATCACCATGTCCGTGTTCGAACCAGCCTCGATGATGGTGAAGTGTGCCCCCCGCCACGGCAAGTACATGGCTTGCTGCATGATGTACCGTGGAGACTCAGCTGAAAGTCTGATCACCTTCGCTGCCTTTTTTTTCAAAGACCAGTGAAGCGCACGGTGGGTGCTTCCATGCACTTTGTCTCTGTCACTATCCTGCCACGGCCCTTCTCCAATATGCATACATCCATGTCTTTTTCTTTCTCCTTTGCATAAGTTTATTCACTTGATTCAAAATGCATTCGTTGGCCCAGGAGATGTGGTGCCAAAGGATGTGAATGCGGCAGTTGCCACCATCAAGACCAAGCGAACCATCCAGTTCGTGGATTGGTGCCCCACTGGCTTCAAGTGCGGCATCAACTATCAACCACCTACTGATGCTGGGGCTTGCTTAACGTCTTCTTTGTTCATGTGCTCACCCACTTGACTTGGGGAGGGCATCTCTTTGGAGTATCTTATTATGTTGGCAGTGATCAAATCCAAGGTGGTTCCTGGAGGTGATTTGGCCAAAGTCATGCGCGCCTGCTGCATGATATCAAACTCCACTGCCACTAGCACTGCAGTTTTTTGCTCCGGTGAATTTGCACTGTCGGAACCAAAGAAGGATGGGGACCTCAATGTTTACATATTTTGCGTGAAGTTCACAAGTTCTTTAGACCCCCAACAAATTATGAAGTTCTGGGGTGGAAAACATTGTTCCCATGCATTTTAACGAGCCCTATTCCAAACAGTTTCACCTCTGTCTGCGAAGACAACTCAAACGCTACCGTGCTAAGGCTGATTGTGTACACATCAAGGACCCATCTTGGACTGAAAAAGTTTGACCAGCCCAATCTTAACTTCAGGTTCACATGTGTTTATCGGACCAGCTAGAAGTCCGGCAATGCTGTTTCGAAAACGCAACCTTGTGCCGCAGTTGTTGAGAAGTGGGTCCCAAATGTCTTGGTGAGCTTTGTGCCCCAGAGAGGGGTCGAGCGGGGATGTTTTAAGGCGATCGCAGAAGTCTTTTCTCGCATCGACCACAAGTTCGACCTCATGTAGCTGGGCCGGCCTCGGCGCTTGGGCATTTGTGCCTTCATGTCAGTCGTTCATAAACGCTTTCAGAAAGTGTTTCGTGCAGGAGCAATAAGCTTGGATTCCAAAGCAGCCCTTGGTGTGAGAAAGTGTGCAGCTTGTGGTTTCTGGTTGCGTAAGGCCCCGAAATTTTATGGCATATGTTGCCACCTTGTGCCACACTTTGGCGCTGCAATCCTTGAGGTTCATCGTCGGGACACCAAAATAGATCAGCCAAGGTACTCGAAACGTGCCTTTGTGCACCACTATGTCGGTGAAGGCATGGAAGAAGGTGAATTCTCCGAAGCCCGTGAGGACTTGGCGGCCTTGGAGAAACTTGGCGTTTTGGGTCACGAGTCTGGTAAAGATGATCATGCTGGTGATGATGACGATGATGATGATGATGATGGTGATGATGTGATGTGGTGATCAGCGTGATGACAACAAAGAACATGTCGCGCTCCTTCTTGTTGTGGTTGCGGTTATGGTTGTTGTGGTTGTTGTGGTTGTTGTGGTTGTTGTGGTTGTGGTGTGGGCGTGTTGTGGTGTTGTTGGTTAGCTGGTTGTTTTTGGTGGTGGGTATGTGTGGTGTTGTTAGTTGTTGAGCGTGGTTTGATGTGGGTGTTGTTGTATTGGTGTTGTATGTTGTTGTGTTGTGCTTTGTTTGTTGTGTTCTGGGATAGCTTGTTGTTGTTGTTGTTGTTGTGGTTGTTGTTGTTGCTGTTGTTGTTGTGGTTGTTGGTTGTTGGTTGTTGGTTGTTGTTGTTGTTGTTGCTGCTGCTGTTGCTGCTGCTGTTGCTGTTGCTGTCGTTGTTTCTGTGATGAATATGGTGGTTATGATGGTGAACATGATGATGAGGATGATGCTGATTTGAAAATGAAGATGGTGTGGGAGAAGGCGATGATGATGTTTTTGCACGCATGTTCTGTTGATGCTGAGGATGATGATGTTGATGACCACTGTGATGGAGTTGATGTGCTTGACAACAAGTTTGATTTGAAAAGATGTTTTTACAACCCATCTTTTCTGTTGAGCTTGGAACCTCCGTGTGGTGTTTGACCTTTGACCTGCCTGCCACGCATGGCAGCTAGGAAAGATTACGAAGAGGTCGGCATCGAAACTGCAGAGGTGCCCTGTGCTCGATATGTTTAGATGGGTTCTGCGTTTGTGAAGAGTTTCATCCATCAAACGGGTGGTTCGAGACCATTTGTGTAGTTCCTTTCGATTTCAAACGGTTCACATTGTTCTTGATTTCTTGATTTTGTTTGCATCAGTTTTCGGGGTTCGCGATTTGATTGCCCGTCTTTCTGGCTGAGGGCGAAGGTGAAGAAGAAGGGTATGGAAACTTGGTTAGCTTACCATTTTGTTTTGTTTTCCCTGCATGGAATCCGGTATTTTGGGAAGTATAATAAAAGGAACTTGTTTGTATGTTTGGCATTTTTGAGCAAATCAAAGGAGATGAGTTCTGAGTCTCACCCGCGTGAGACGAAGACGGATATCCGACCAACATCCAGATGTGATGCGCAGCCGAACTCTGTGCATTCTGCGCGAGGTGCTGCCAAAATGAACGCCGATCCTGAAGGCCACAAAATCTCACAAGAGGTCAGGTTTTAATTTGTCGTTTGTTTTTCATCAAAAATTGAGTTCCGTCCTTGCATCGGAAAATTCAGACAATGATAAATGCCATGGGACATTCAGGTAGTTGGGTGTTGCACTTCGGATGAAAAACGGTGGCCAAAACATGGCTTAACAATACAGTTGATATACCTGTTGGATTTGGTCATACATAGGCTGAAGAGTTATGACTGCTAAGATAGTTCATATTATTTCCAACCAGCCCCACGAAAGTAACATGTTACTTCAAGAAAAACGCAAAAAAAAATCATGAATCAATGAGTAATGAGTCAATGAGCCATCATTAAACAAATTTAATGTTTTTCGGGTGAATCAGCCCAGGCAGCCCCGGTTCCGGAAGCTGGGGAGTTCTCACCAGACATATTGAGACTGCTGGGCCAGCCGTGATTTCTCTGTCTTTGGCTCGTTGTTTTCTTTGTTAGTGGTTACTTGTTGGCTGCCACTTGTTTGATTGGTGAAAGGTGCTGAGGCGAATCCTGACTGAAGGTGGTCTCTTCTGATGATATCTGATGATTCTGTTTGGTTCCTTTCGGCTCAAGGATTTGTGCCTGAGGTGTGCCCCATCGCACGGTGTGCTTCCGACACAAAACCCATTTGTGCAACAACTCTCTTCAGTTCGTAGCCATGCGTGAGGCAATCTGCATCCATATTGGACAGGCCTGCGGCTGGTTGGGCTCTGGGTGAGACAGGCTGTACATCTTTCGCTGTCGCATATCAATAAATATGCACAGTACACGGTGTACACGTAACATCTACATCTTCAAGCATTGACCCTTCCCCATGCACATTCTTGACGATGAACTTCGAATAGTGATTGTTTTGAAGCGAGAATGGATTGCTGTGACCTCACTGCCACAGGGCGGAGTTCAGATTGGAAATGCGCCGCTTGTCTGGACCCGTTGGACGTGTTGGATGCCATGAGAAGATGGGGGGCTGAACGCCAACTACATGCTGTGGCATTTCTTTGAAGTAGAAGCCATCATGTTCACAAGAGCACACATATCCCGTGTGGCTATAAATCAAACTGATCAACACGTGACCCAGGGAACTTCTCTCACAGGGAGAAACCACCATTCTCATTTATTTTCCACGGGGACTCCTTTGGTCATGGTTCGTTTTCTGCTTTTAGGCACCTTTTTTCCATGGTTCCATGACTTTTCCTTGAAATCATGGGTGTGTAGCTGGTCTTTGGTCCAGGTGCTGGGAGCTTTTCTGTTTGGAGCACGGCATCCAACCTGATGGCCAGATGCCTTCCGACAAGACCATCGGCCACTGGGACATGCATTTCTTATACTCTGCTGGTCTGCTTCTGGCAAGCATAGATTCAGAATGATTCAAATATGTACCGGAAGTCGTTCTTGCGTTGCTGGCGAAATTGGGGTGAGGCAGGCAGCAGTTAGTACTAGTCAGTCTCATGACCTTTATCCTGAGAAGAAGTTGGACAGAGGTCCGGGATTGATCATCTGCCCTATGGTGAAGAGAAAGAATTAACGGTCAGTGTCATTATCTTTGAAAAGCGCAAGGAACCAAGAGGTCTACACCGTATGATTTTTCCCCATCTGCTCAATTTGCTGGTTCATTTTTCACCTCAGCTTGCAAAGCGGTGTGGGAGGTGGTGGAGATGACGCATTCAATACGTTCCTTGGATGACTTGGGGATGGATCGTTTCTCAGGTGGTTGTGTCCTTTCGTAGGACAGTTGCAAACTTTGACATGGGTAATTAAGTCTTCAGAATGTAGAAGTTTGGTGGCAGCAACGCACCATGTCGCATGATGAACGATCGGGGACTGTAGTCCCAAACTTGCATCACATCCACATGGGCACCCCCGAAGTGATCATTTGAAGGGGCATCAAAGTGACACACGAAAACGCAATCTTTGGCGAAGAATTGTTTTGTGAAAGCTAGTGAAGGAGAAAGCAAGTAAGTAGCGCGTCGCCAGTGTCTGACATGGGTCATTAGTGGCTGCACTTGCCTTCTCCTTGTTGGCAAAATGGTTTTTCCCGTAGGTGGAATTCCGGCTCCTCTTACCTGCCCGTCCATGGTTGGTTGACCGGCTTTTCTGGCTCTTGGATTCGGCTGTCATGCTTGCTCCATCATGCAGAAGTTAATAAATCCAGTTCTTCCAGCCCTCCAATTTTGATCCTTTTTGTATGGCATTTCGCTGGCGTCCCCAAAGGATCTTGACCTGTTATTTCATCTGACACCACAGCTGGAGGGGCTGGAAAAAGAACAGGGTCATCCTACCCGAACGTTGTCGTTCAACAGCTCACACGTCTATGTTCTCAGGTTCTTCTCCGAAACTGGCGCAGGCAAGCACGTACCCCGGTGTGTGATGGTCGACTTGGCACCTTGGCAGTCATTGGTTGGATCAAGATAGGGTGGTGGTGGTGGTGGCGGCGGTGCCGGCGGTGATGATGATGATGATGATGATGATGATGATGATGGCTATGATGACGATGGTTGTGATTTTGAGTCTGGGTGTGATGATGATCATGACGGCGATGATGATGACATCGGTGATGATGCCAAGGAACAGAAACTGGGGTTGGCATGCGGTCTAGTCACCACCGTCACCACCGTCACCACCGTCACCACCGTCACCACCGTCACCACCGTCACCACCGTCACCACCGTCACCACCGTCACCACCGTCACCACCACCACCACCACCACCACGACGACTAGACCACCATCACCACCACCAGTATCATCATCCTCATCATCATCACAACTGTCAGCACCATTAACAACGCCATCAAAAACATAATCGCACGCATTCTATACGGTAATCATCACTGTCAACATCATCATCACCGTTATCATCACCATCATCGTCGTCATCATCCCCTGAGCATCGCCTTTTGATTACAATCAATTAGCCCCTATGATTTTTAAATTGATTTTTTTTTGAAGAGGTAAAATCAAAAGGGAAAAATCATGACTTGGAGGCAATTTGGCAGGAATTTCCTTTTTGATTTTGCTTGTTTTGGATGGATGCTTTTCTTTTGATTTTTTTGGTGTTTTTCCAGGCCTGTCTAGTAGCAAGTTTGCTGCTGCTGCACATGTTTTTTTCATATGTTTCTGCAGCTGTTTGTAGCTCAAACATATAGAAATCAACATACAATAAATATATATACACACATCAAAAATGGAAAGCTTTGGAAAAGGCAAAAGTGACATCTGTGGAAGTGAAGGCTTTGGAAAAGGCCAAGGTGAAGGCTTTAGAAAAGGCAAAAGTGAAGGCTTTGGAAAAGGCCAAACTGAAGGCTGTGGAAAAGGCGATGAAGGCTTTGGAAAAGGCACAGGAAAAGGTGGTGTCAGACACTTTCCAAAACCTTACATCGATTCAGGTCTGCTATACAAAGTATTGGCAGACAATGTGTTGGTTTTGAAGAACCTGGGCAGCTATGAGCATGTCTCCAAAGCCAATTGCCCTTGCCCAAAAGGGTTAGTCCACACCATTGGGCTCTGGAAGTCAGTGCTGAAACTAGAACCTTCTGGAGAGGTCCATCCTCAACCTCTGAGGACAGCACTGATCAGCCTGCTGGCTGAGAGGCCAGAGCTCAATTGCACCTCGAGCTCTGGCCAGGTGTGGGCTAACCTGAGAATGGAAAGGATCTCTTGCATCCTCTTCCATGTGAGGAAGCTGGGCAGAGATGGGCTCACATCTGCTGCTGCCAAACTCTGCAGAGATGATTTCTCACTGCTGCAGCAAGGTTTGAAGCTGCTGGAAATCCCAGATGCTTTGGAAAAGGTACCTAAACCAGTGGCACTTCCTTTGGAAAAGGGAAGAGCAGCAGAAAACTCAAATAGAAAGCTGAAAAAAGAAAACATTGATGTTTCCATGGATAGCAAAGGTTTCCCCAAGATGTTTGAAGACAGCAATGCAGGCACTCCAAAGAAAACAGGCACTTCCTCTGGTGCTGCAATGTGCATTGCCAGAAGAAGGCCTGGGCAAATGGTATCTTTGGAAAAGGATGGTTTGCAAGCTGCCTTGGGGTATGGGAAAAAACCATTGAAAAGGCCAGCATCTGCTTTGGAAAAGGCATTGAAAAGGCCTGCATCTGCTTTGGAAAAGGTAGAGAAAGCAAGGCCCAAGAAAGATGCAGGCAAGACAGAAAAGAAGAACCATGCAAAAACCTCTTTGGAAAAGGAGAAGAGAAAGCCTTGGCTCAAGATCAAGAAAACAGTGGCCTGGAAAAAACCCAGATCTTACTTGACAGGCACCACAGAAAAAGGTGGAAAGTTGAAGCTGATTGTGGAAGTGTCTGGTGCTAGGTGCCCAGATTGGCACAGCCAAATGGTTGATGAGATTTGGGCTTCTTTGGAAAAGGAAGCATTGACAAAGTCAGAGGCCATAGCCCTGAGGGAGAAACTTTGCAAGGAATGGGGTGCCAACTGGTAGATGCTGCATGTGCACCTCAAGCATTTGGAAAAGTGCTCTGCTCCAGCAATTTTGAAGCAAGTGGCTGCCTTTGGAAAAGGGCATGCTTCTGAGAAGTGTCTGGCAAGGCAAGCCCCAACATGGGGCCAGCCTAGATCTGACCAATTTTGCTTGAGGAAAAAAGTGCATCCAAGAAGGCACTGGGGCCAGGAGGGGTTAGGCTGGTGTCACCCAAAAACATACCACTTCAACCCCCCTTAAGTAATAAAATATATACTTTTTACACACATATATATATAACCACAGCTGTTTTTTAAATAGGAATATACCACATGTGCATATATGTGTATATATATATATGTATATATGTATACTATGTATGTATGTATGTATGTATGTATGTATGTATGTATGTATGTATGTATGTATGTATGTATGTATGTATGTATGTATGTATGTATGTGTGTATGTATGTGTGTGTATGTGTATATCAATAGACATATATATATATATTTATGCACCCAAGCCTGTTTTCAAACATGTTGTCAAACATGCATGGTTTGTTCTTGTATAAAGTTGTAAGAAACTGTTTGCACCTAAAAAACATGCATGTCTTATGTGCTCTTTGAAAAAGGGGCAGTTAGTTTTGAGTTCCAATGCATTATATGTTTCTGCAGCTGTTTTAAACTCAGCTAAGAGCAGGCTCACAGCAAACACCACACTTACAACACATAACAATTTTGCTAACAATTTCACAGCTACAACTCACAGCAGCATATAGGTCGGGACAAGCAACATAACAAGTAACACTCACTAGGTCACAGCAACAACACAAACTTTTGTAGTTGGGGTTGGGGAATCCAAGGGTTAAAACAACCCTTTCACTGGGTTTGGAAAAGCCTTAGGTTTTGGAAAAGACCTTGGTTTTGGAAAAGACCTTGGTTTTGGAAAAGACCTAGGTTTTGGAAAAGACCTAGGTTTTGGAAAAGACCTGGGTTTTGGAAAAGGCCTTGGCTGAAAGAACCCAGCTGCCATGTCAAACCAGTGGGATGACTGGGATGACTGGGAAGACTGGGATGACTGGGAAGACTGGCAGGACTGGGGGGAGCCAAACAGGTATGGGTTTTATGGCCTGAACTGCAAGAACAGGCCATCAGGCACAGGCACAACCCATTCCAACAGAAGGGAGGCCAGAAGGAATCTCCAATGGGACAACCTTACCAAGGCTGTCCCAGACACAGAGGAGACCCTGGCCTCCCAAGCTGCAGCTTTGGAAAAGGCTGCAGAGAAAGCCAAAAAGAAACTGGAAGAGATGAAGGAAAAAAGGGAAGAAGAAGAAGAGGAAGAAGAGGCAGAAGAGGCCTCTTCTTCCACCAATGTGAACTACAGGGGCAAAAAAAAGAAGCAGAGGTCCAAGTCCACCAAAAAAGCTGCTTTGGAAAAGGCAGCAGGAAGTGCTTTGGAAAAAGCAAAAGGTGATGAGCCAGCTTTGGAAAAGGCTGAGGCTGAGGGCACAATCAGAAGGGGAAGGAGGGCCAAGCATGGCCAAAAGGAACTGCTTATGGAAAAGGAGGAGGAGGAGGAACTCCCTTTGGAAAAGGGGAAGAAAACAAAGCAGGAGCAAGATGTGTCTTTGGAAAAGGGCACCAAAACACAAAAGAAGTCTTTGGAAAAGGACCCCCAGGGAGTGGTTTTGAAGCCAGCTGCCAAAAACCCTCCCAAAGCAAAGCTGGTCCCAGCAGAAAAGCCTTTGGAAAAGGGCAAAGAGGAGAAGGCCATCTGTGTGGTGGACTGGCACCATACCCTTGAGGTCAGGGACATGGTGCCAGAAAGCCACATCAAGGCCTTAAGGGGGCTGGTCAAGGCCACCAAAGAGGTCCACATAGTGAGCTATGTGGAAAGTGAAAAAAGGGAAAGGCAGGTCAAGAAAGATGCCAGGGACTTCCTTCCCAAGGACCTGTTCGAGCAGTTGAAAGTTCACTGCACTTGGAAAAGGACAGGTCCAGGGGGAAAAAAGGAAGTCTGCAAGTACCTTGGGGCCTCTGTGATTTTTGATGATTCACCAGAGGTGGCCCAGGAGTGCTTGCAAGGTGGCTTGATGGTTTTTGCCATCTGCACAAAGTGGTGCAGGCATGGTGATATGCCTCAAAGCATGGTTTTCAGTGACTTTGCTGAGGCAGTGGAGGCTTACCTTGAAATTTCAAAGGTAAAAGCTTTGGAAAAGGCAGCCTCCAAAAGGTTTAGGAAAAGACCTGAGCCATGCCATGCCTTTGGAAAAGGGCTGCACCACAAAAAGCCTTTGGAAAAGGGCACCAAAGCCACCAAAGCAAAACAAGAGCCTTTGGAAAAGGGCTGCACCACAAAAAGCCTTTGGAAAAGGGCACAAAAGCAAAACAAGAGCCTTTGGAAAAGGGCCCCAAGCCTTTGAGAAAGGGTTCAAAACTTTTGGGAAACAGTTTCAATCCAGTTTCACCAGCAGAACCTTTGGAAAAGGGTTCAAAACTTTTGGAAAAGAGTTTGAATTCAGTTTCACCAGCAAAGTGTACAGAAACCAGCAGGCCCACAAGTGGCCAGCTGGAAAAAAACAACCAACTAATGAAGAATAGTGAAAATGAAATATAAATAATAAAATAAATAGTTTAATTATAAACATATCTAAAGAAATTCTAAAATGAATATATTTTTCATGATAGCAATTTGAATTGTATCAGGAAAGGCTTCAGAAATGTTTACCTTTAGTCAAACCATAATGGAACATTATAAACAAATCTATGTATATATTTGAATGTTTATATTTAAAATATTTTTTACAGAAAAGAAAATTAGATAGAGATAAAAAAAAGGTGCCAAACACAAACACTGAAAACAAAAGCAAAACAAAACATGTGCATGTGAACTTTATTTGTTTGTAATTTTGATAAGAGCCCTTTTCCAAAGGCTTCTGCTGACAAAATTCCAGG